TTTTTTGTTTTGATTTATTTTATGTATTTTTTTGAGTTATGTAACGTATCGTCACTCAAAACCGGTTTTTTAAGTACTGATGTAATATAATCTGGATGAAAATAAAAACATTTTTATCGCAGGATGATACACGTGTTGTCAGCAAAAGTTTGTAAATATTTGCAGAATTTGTAAACGAATTTTGAGATATCTAAATATATTGCGAATATGTTTTGATATACAGGGAAATAATTTTAATGGATATACGCTTTTTTCATCGTTTTTCTCGTGTGCTCTTATGCAGGGTGACAATTTGAAAAGGAACAGAATTTAATATTACCTCTACCGATGATAGTATGAAAATTTGGCGAAATACGTCAATCTACATATCAAGGGGGACAATTTATTGAGGCATTTGTTGTGGTGTTACTTTCAACCCTTTGACCTCCAGGGCACCTACCCCTAAAATTTTAAATGGCAACCCCTATTTCTTTTACCATTTTTGTGTTCCTTATAAAATTCTACATAAACTGTATTATTATTTTGTCAAAATTGTGATACTTAACCTCACAAATGAATGAAATGTATGTAATATCTAATTTTAAAACGGATTGCATTCACCGCCTCATAGAACTTCATTTAAAAATGTTTGTACCTACCAGTAACACGACAACAAATGCCTCAAAAATTGTCCCCCTTGATGTGTAAGTTGACGTGTTTCGCCAAATTTTCATACTACGAGGCATGTTTTTTAAGTAAGTACCGTTTTGGAATTAAAAAAAAACGTGCAAAGATATCGCAATAATTTTATTTTTACATGAAAGCCTGTACCTTAATCTACTTTTCTACATAATTTCCGTGAATATTGAGGCACTTGTCATAACGTGGCACCAGTTTTTCAATACCCTCCTCATAAAATTCTGCCGCCTGACTGGTAAACCACTGTATCGCAACTGTTTTGACTTCGTTATCGTCTTGAAGACGCTGACCGCCCAGGTGTTTCTTCAAGTGCAGGAATAAATGGTAGTCACTGGGCGCCAGATCGGGGCTGTATGACGGATGATCTAGAGTTTCCCATTTAAAAGATTTGATGAGATCTTTGGTCCGATTAGCCACATGTGGACGGGCATTGTCATGCAGCAAAACAATACCCTTACTCAACTTGCCACGTCTTTGGTTTGGGATTGCACGGCGCAGATTGTTCAATGTCTCACAATAAGATGCTGCCTTGACTGTCTCATTACGAGGCAGAAACTCCACTAGCAATACTCCTTTTCTGTCCCAAAAAACTGCACATGATTCTCCGGGCAGAAATTGTTTGCTTAAACTTCACTGTTTTGGGTGATGATGAATGTCGCCATTCCATGGACTGTTGTTTCGATTCTGGTGTTTCGTAGGCCACCCATGTTTCGTCACCAGTAACAATTTTGTCTAAAAAATCTTCACCTTCATTGTGGTACTGCTCAAGGAAAGTCAATGCACTGCCTAAACGTTGGGTTTTGTGCAAATCCATCAACATTTTCGGAACCCAACGTGAACACAATTTCCGGTAATTCAAGTTCTCGGTCACAATGCGATACAAAACACTACGAGAACATTGAGGAAAGTAGTCGCACAATGATGAAATTGTAAAGCGTCTGTTTTCTTTCACCTCTTTGTCCACTTTCTGCACCGAATCTTCATTAACGACCGAAGGACGCCCACTCCGTTCTTCATCATGCACATTTGTGCGGCCATCTTTAAATGCTCTCACCCTTTTCCTTACCATTCCATCACTCATAATGGTTTGTCCGTAAACTTCACAGATCTCACGATGAATATCGATCGGTTTTACGCCTTTAGCACTAAGAAATCGTATGACAGCCCGTACTTCACAATCGGCGGGGCTCACGATTGTCGGAGGCATCTTAAACACTCAATAAACAACGTATACGATGAAGAATCAGACTACTGGCGTCTGTGCATAGACAAGAGATGTAGGTAACCAGCGCGCATGCGCGGAACGCCGACCGTAGCGCTGCGGCGGCGGAATCGCAAAACGGTACTTACTTAAAAAACATGCCTCCTATCATCGGTAGAGGCAATATTAAATACTGCTCGTTTTCAAATTGTCACCCTGTATATTAAATAATGATTCATCTAGTAATTATATTTAGTTCTTAAACACAAATTTAGCAGAATTAAATAGGTAAACAAACTTTACTTTTTTGGTCATTAGTAAAGTTAGATTGGGTTTAGTACTTTAGAATTAACTTATAATAACTATCAGTGCTATTAGTAAGAATATATAAACAAGGGTAATACATATGTATAGTGAAATAATTTATAAAAAGTAAATTTATATCAGAGAGGGTTAGTTAGTACAGATATATTTTAACAATCGTATCTCTAGAGACGTATAAAAGATAAACCAAAATATATTGATTTGTTTTGACCTAACATATACAAATAAAATGTAAACAACTCGTTCGTTTATTTGCAGTTCGATTTGGCCACAAAGTTAATATAATCCTTTTTTCAAGATTTGTCATTGGCGTAGTTTAAGGTTTGGTTTGCTTAAAACATTACATTGGCATGATACCATAAAATATAATATCTACATTAAAAAATAAACACTAGAGTATCTAATATGTATATAAATACAGTTAATTTTAGATCATATATTATTTATATGATCCAGACACAATATTCCGGTGCTACTGCACGCTGCTCCAAAATAGCAACTTGGTTATGTTTTCATTTTTGTTATGCAAATTTTACATCTTATGTTCTTTATACTTTCAATCTTAAACTTTTGTTTACTCTCTCTCAAAATAAGATTTTTGTCTTATTTTCTTAATAGAATATAGTCTGAAAGCGTTCATGCACAAAAAAACAAAGAAAAATATGTGAGATGAAACTTAAAAACGCAAACAAACCAAATACTCCAATGCCTTAACATGTAAATAAACAACTATGTTGTCAAAGGAATGTTTGTTGATGAATTTTGAAAACCAGAAACTGACATATATGATTTTTCAATTCTAGGTTATGTTATGAATTATTCGTAAACATAGAGATTTTATATGAATGGAAAGGAAAAAAATATGTGTTTTTAAATTACAGAAGATTTGGCTAAAGACTCTTTATAATTTAATGAAATACTTTATGCATTATGATCTTCGTTAATAAACTTTTCTTTAATAAATGACTGGCAATCCAGCATTTTTCTGTTTACATCGGGTTTGTATATCTTGGGCTGTCTTGGGTACCTTTGTTTTGTACCAGAGAATTTTGTACATTAGGCCAGGTTGACACCGTCAAAGTGAACTTGGACTAAGTCAACAGGATGCTGCCATTATAAATACACCTACAAACAGCGTTTAAAGTTCGGTTGACACGTGTTTTGACCATAGATTTAGTAAGAACAGATATCACATTGTGCATTTTAACCCGATCAAACAATCGGAGGTTGACTACGTACTGTAAAACCCACTGAGATAGAGAAGGCGACATTGCCACATCTCAAATTTGCGCCTATCTACTTAGTTTGATTTGCAGAAAAACTTTGAAACCTTCACCGGATATCAATAAATTTCAATTTCTTAATTAAATTAATAGTTTATTTTTTAAAGAAGCATGCGTAATAATATGTTATTAACCAGAGGATATATGCGTTACTATTAAAGGACGTGTTTACTGTTTAATGTGCTGAAACGTCTGGAACTATTGGCAACGTCGCTGCTAGTCTTCCAGAATGAAAATAAGCCGTCCGTCCCACCACCCTCGCGACGGCCCTTGGTCCGTTATAGCGTACTACGTTTAGCTTACGGTGTGTTTGAAGTCGGAATCAAGTCCGAAGTGAACTTTTCAGTGTTTTTTCAGTAGTTTTGTTTTTGTTTAACGTACTTTTGAATCTGCGAATTTTTCAATATGGTACGACAGTGTCAAGTGTGTGGAAAATAAGCTCAAATTACCCGAATTTGTCTTTTCACAGGTAGGTACAAATTTCCGCCGTAATCTGTACATAGGCGTCCTACAAGGGAGCCCCTTACAATTAAAATAATTTCTAATTATATTTGTTGAATTTTGATCTATTTGATATCTAAAACAAGAACGTAGTAACCGGTAATTGAATTATAATTCGTCTCAATTACTACCTAACTGTTGTAGATCATAACAAATTTGAATATATACGTTGCATTTGAAACTTTATTATAAGCCAGAAAGTGACATTTTTTTTCTTAAAATTGCGTCACATTTTGGTCATTATATACGATATTCTAAAGGAATTTTGCTCAACAAATAAACAAAGGTGTTTACCCGACCTTTTTTACATTTTACTGCTTTATTATATCTGCCCCTTCGGCCTTGTTTAGACAATTTTTACCATCGTACAAATACCTCTTCCTAGAGTTACTGAAAGTTCAAATTGAAAATCGACGTTGGAGCGATTTTCGAAAACTACCTACTAACGTTTCAACATATGTATATATGGGATATTAATTATATTATTATATTAGACCTTATAACAAAACTCATCTGACGAAAAAGTGTTAATGTAGTATATTAATATGGAGTAAAAATTTTACTAATTACTTTACTTTTACTTTACTAATTAAATTCCTTCCAAAAAACGATACGCCACTTGCCATTAGAACAATCCAAATGCGCCTAGTTCCGGGGTCGGAAATTTTAGACTTCTCTGTCTCTTCTGTCCTTGTTTGATACATTGGAATGTTTGATACACTTCCAACGAGTATTTACGAATGAAATGTTCGGTCTATCTCTATAATGTCTTTGGTTTTGACACAGGTATACAAAGTGTAAAACAAATTTTAAATCAATTGATACGATCTTAACAGCGTCCAAGTGAGACGCGCGCTGCGTCTAAATTTGATCCAAGTACACTTTGACCGTGTTAACTAGGCTTAAGGTTTGCCTGTTTATACTATTTGCTTGAAATCTATCCTTTAATGTTGTCAAAAGAACACTCACTTTCTAATATCAGTTCTAATTATTTTTCCTTCTGTTTTTTTAAGGAATTCCGGAATAGTCCAGTGGTGGCCTCTGTCGCATCCAACTTGGACAATGGTCAAGTGAACCCGATAGCCAACGGCGAGTTTACCATATTTACGCCACTATCTCCGCCCTTATACAACAACAATGTCTTCCTTGCCAACGAACAAGTTATAGTGAGTAGTCATAACTTTGTTTGCGGTTTTATTTTATTAAAACACACTTTTCAACATTTTAGACACGGACCTCGGATGATTACGTCTATGGGGATATCGACGTTAGTTTTTGGTTTGGTAAGTACTATGCCATTTTCTGTTTCTTGTATATGATTCAGTAAAAGCCAGAAATCAGTGAATGTTAACAATTACTTGTAAAAGCTCACATTCACTGATTTGCCAACACTACTCCAGTAAAAATCTAACAACTAATTTTCAAACAAACTTTCACTAGCGAATGTTAGCAGAATCTAGCTACATTTTTCAGCAGTTGCCCGCAACTTACTATCCAGAAATTATGATCAGAAGCGATCGATACAGCGGCTGAAAATTTGACGTTATACTTTTTATATTCAATTTTAAAATCAAGATATTCAAAAAACACTATATTTGTATTAAAATTATAAATAAAATAGAGAGCCATAAAAAAGTTTGAAACCAAAGCAATCAAAACTCATTCATGTAACTTCGTGTCGATTGATAGTCAGTTGCCAGGTAGCGGCTAGACGCCTGATGCTTTTTGAGGTTAAGTATAAAGGCAAATTTCTTAATTTTGGTGTCTCTGTTTCGTTATCGTCTTTTTTGTATTTTTAAAATGAGCGGACCAGCTTAGATATGGAGGTCTCCAATGCCCTTAAAAGTTTTATTCTCCCTATCGTGTAATAGAATTCCTTTTACTAACAAGTTTTAGTCAGTGGTACTCTTATTAGCTACTTCAAAGTGTCAATAATTACTAGTATATGTCGACAAATTTCCTTAAAATATCATATTCACTGGTCCAATGCGTAATTGTTAGCATTACCTAGTGATTTTTAACATTTATTGGCTTTCTGACTTTCACTGTAACATATGCAATATTTTCTTATGAATTTTTTTTGTTTGGTTTCAGATCCTTCTAAAAAGGACTTTCCCAGAGTGAAATTAAAGTACATAAAGGAACTAGGAAAAGGATGGTTTGGGAAAGTAAGCCTTCAACTATACATTCTAAAAACAGTCCTTGACATTGTTAATTTCTGTTTTTTTCTTAGGTGGTAGAAGGTGCAGCCCAGGACCTAGACAACGGAAAGTCCTGGACACCAGTTGTAGTAAGAATTCTGGATGCGGCATCGAACGCAAGGCAGCGGGTTCTTTTCCTGAACGATGCTTCTATCTACTTGGCTCCAGAGCACCCAAACCTTCTAGCTTTAAAAGGCAGATGCGTGGGAGCTGCTCCGTTACTTTTGCTCCAAGAATTTTGCTCTGGTGGAGATCTGAAAGCAAGATTAAGATCAGTAGGTGCAGAGAATAAAGTTCTGCAGTGGTGTTGCGAAGTTACGTCAGCCTTGAGGCATTTACATGATCACGGATTGGTTCATCAGTAAGTAAATCATTTTTATCCACAATCATACGAAAATGGGAGTTTTATACACTCATTGTGAAGTGCTTAAAGTGATATTTCATCCACTAGTGGGATAAAATATATTTTATTCCATATTTTATCCCATTAGTGGAATACTGAAATTAAAAATACTAAAGTTTTACGCAACGATGGGTAGTTGTTTCTTGAGGTTACGCAAACATTGCAACAGGAATATCACCATCTTTTTGCATTTTCCGTACTTTTTAAAAAAACATCTGCAAATTATGGCACGAGCTCCGAATGTTACTTTCGTTAAGTTTTTCTTTGTATCAAAACTACATAACATAGTTATCATAATAACAACGTTATCTCTGATTCAATTTTTAATATTAATGCTTTTTGTTAATGTAATTTTGAAAATATTTTTTTTATGATTTTAACTAAATATACATGGGTGGCCCTAACTGTATTCCGGAAACTTCGGCAGCATATTCTGCAGATAAAAATGAGTAAAAAAGTCCGTATAAATCTTTGTCCTAAAATGCTTAGTTTCGGAGATACAGGGTGTAGAAATTTATATGTATCGTCAATATTTGGATGGAAATTGGTGTCTGGGAGTTTTTGGATTCGAATGAAAAATTGGATTTTGATCTCAATATGACTGTTAGTTCTAGAGGGCGCCACCGACATATTTTTTAACTGGTTTGAAGAGTAATAACTTTTTGTCTGCACCTGTATAAAGCTACTGAGTTAAAGAATATACATTTACGACGTTTTTTACGCAAAAAAGGTCTCTTGGTAAAAATCGCTACGAGTAATGGTTCTCGAGATATTTGGAATCTAAATTATCAATACCTGTCATCATTGACATAAATTAAACATGTTAACAAAATAGTTATTAGACTGATAGTACGAGAGCTAGCAACGTCTGAAAAACAACTATTTTAAGACGTCTGGCTCTTATATTAATAGTAAAGTATTAGATATTTGTTTTTTTTAATTACCAGAATTATTTAATACTTTACTATCAGAATATAAACGAAAATAAAATAAAAAGTTTTTGACCTGACCCAGATTCGAACTCTGAATCATCGGTTCGTGGTCGGAAACTCTACGCACTGCGCTATGGAGACATGTTCGATTTATATTCAATACTAGAATTTATAGAACTAAATAATAAAAAATATAGGATCTTCTTCCGACGCGCAGTAGTGAACGCAACGGGTATCGGCAGCCAGACGGGCCGCATGCTGTTCCAGAGAGCATAGTAAAGGGTATATCAAAGAGCCAGATGTCTTAAAATACTTTCTCGAAAACGTTGCTAGCTCTTAGACTATGAAATCATAAATTTGAAATGTTTTTGTGCCGAAACTTCAACAGACACTGTTTTATCATCATTTTTTCGAAGAAAAATTTATGATTAATTTAAAAAATTAAAAAGGTTTTAAATTAATCATTTCAGCTCGCATTTCAGTCAAATAACTAATCTATTCTCGACATATTTATTTTTTGTCAATAATGACCTGTATTGACTATTACCATTCTAAATATCTTGAGACGGGTTGCTCGTAGCGATTTTTGCCAAGATACATTTTTTACGTAAAAAATCATGGAAATGTATATTTTTTCGCTCAGAATTTTTATACAGGTACGGACGAGAGAGAGAAAAGTTATTATTCTTCAAAACAGTTAAAACACATGTATGTGGTGCCCCCTACAAATAAGAGTCATATTGATATAAAAATTTCTCATGTAAAAAAGCTCCCAGACACTAATATTCATCGAAATATTGACGTTACTTCAGAAATTATTTGGAAAAAATCGAAATAAAAATTAAACTTCTACACCCTGTATCTCAGAACTAAGCATTTTAGGACATACATTTATACGAACTTTTTTACTAATTTTTATCTGCAGAATATTCTGCTGAAGTTTCTGGAATACAGTTTGGACCACCCTGTATATACAGGGTGAATCTGAAATTGACCCCAGAAACACGATTATGAAGTTTTGTTTCGTGAAATTTTAGAATTTTTGGAGACATTTTTTGTAAATTTTTTTACTTTTTAGTTAAAAAAACATAATTTGTTTATATATTTTGCAATATAGGTAGTAGATTAAATTTAAAAATCAAACATCCATTTTAGTAAAAAATATCTTTTTTTTGGAAATTTTCAAAATAAAATAAGTCGGTTATTTTGGGTTTATTTGAACAACGTCAAAGAGAAAATATGTTTCTTTTATCGATATCTACTAGCCCCGAAAATATTTGCACTTATCTAAGACTTACCCTGTATATACATCATGTGTTTGTTGATAAAATGTACTAAGAAAACGAAACGCTCGCGAACTAACCACGTTCTCGCCATATCTCGGATAAAGTGCTTAAAAAAACAAGTGTTTTAAGGCACATTTTATTTCGAACAAGTGCAGAAAAAAAATATTAGTTATAAAAACATTTATAATGACATTATCAACTTTTTAAAATTTTGAAAGTGTCCTATTGTTTACTTACTCGTTTTCTGTCATTTCTCTTGCTCCCGCAATTGTTATTTCTGGCCTAATTCTCACGTTAGATTATAATAATTTGTGATAACACTACATTAAAAAAATATATTTAAACAATGTTTATTTGGTACTTCCAGTGACTTGGCTTCTCGTAATTGTCTTCTTACCGATTCCTTAACTCTAAAAGTTGGAGATTACGGTTTGGGACCGACAAAATACCCAGAAGATTACTATAAAGGAGGCGAGCCTCTCGTACCGGTTCGTTGGAGGTCTCCAGAATCCTTAGAATGCACTCTTACCACCATCCAGCCAAAGAAGATGACCACGGAGGCCAACGTGTGGTCTTTGGGAGTCGTTATGTGGGAAATATGTGAAAACGGTGCTCAACCTTATGGAGAGTTCGATGATGACGAGGTGATATCGAAAGTGTTTGGCATAGAACGGTTAAGATTAGGCAAGCCTAGCAAATCCGAGATGTATACCGATTATATGTAAGAATTATATCAAATACTTAGTGTCTTGGGCTGAGCTTGCGTAAGAAGTTAGATTAGATTAGATTTTTTAAGGTGGTTACCCGCCTGTTCTACTGCGACCTTTTCAGAACTATTGTGGTCCTCTTCTGATCTATAGGTTACATTTTCCAGTCTTTATCATTGCCTAATACAAAGAACCGCACATTTGCTAGAATGTCGCACTAAGATAAAATGTGTTCTGTCGTTTATTTTCCAAATTGAGAAAAAAATCTGCATATCCGTCAATCAAATCACTTACAATGCCCTTTTTAGTATATTCACTATAGCTTTGACAGTTTTTCTGTCTTTAAATATCAGATTTGCCATGATTTTTTGCGAATATTATATTTATTATGAAGTTTTTTGTCTGTCTCTGACCTTCTGCATTTCTCTACCATTCTAGAGATTTTGTTTTGTAGCCATTCTTGTTCTTAGTTCTGGGAGTATGAATGGCATAGATAAGCCTTATTTGGCTCTGGTACCCAGGCTAAGGTAATGTTTCTATGCTCACCCAATGTATTTGGAGTACGTACATAATCTGACAGTAGTTTAGAATTGACCTCTTTCTATGGATTGGTTTCTTCTATGATGCTCTATAAACTTCTATTGCAAGATCAGCCAGGGGCACTGTATACTTTCTTAATTTTTTTGTTTATATTTTAATTCACCCTAACAGCTTCCGCTTGATACAAATGTGTTGGAGTAACGCGGACACCCGGCCCAAAGTCTCCCAAATCGACATGATGCTCTCTGATCTCCTGCAAGTGCACAGAAATACTCAGAACCAAATCCCGAACGCCACCAACGATTTCGAAAGGAGATGGGAATCTCTCAAACCCAATACCATCGTCAAAACTGACAATTACTCCGTCAGTATCAACATAGAACCTGGCGACGTCAACATTTCCAAACCCATGTCGCCTAGCCTGAACAACTTACACGGTTCCCTAGATAATTTAACGGAAGTGCAACCAATGGAATCGTGGTTGCAGAACGTAGCCTCGGAAACCAGAGACCCAAACTACGTTAAGGGTCTCTCGGAAGCGATCAAAACCCTCGATACTGCCTTAGAATTAGAAACGATTTCAACCAGTTCGGATCACAGCTTTAAACAAGACCATAATAATACTAACCTCAACGTAGATTTTAAGTTAGGTCCTTCAGTATTTTCCGTAATCGACAGACTGCCAGATTCTCCAAATCAAAACGATAGCTTAACTGATAGTATGATATTTAAACAGCCAGGTAGTAGTGAAAGTGAAACTGAAGAAGAGAATTGGAGGAAGAAAGTTGAACGTGGGGCTTATAGCGAAAAGGTTAAGTTAAAATCTAGATCAGTAGCTGATTTGATGGTTCTAACTCACGTGGATTACTCTGAATCGGAATCAGAAACTCCTTTACCTAGCCTAGACTACCGGGCAAACAAAAGTGGAAGAAAATCAAACTTGGAGACGGTCAGTTTAAATTTCAGCAGCGAAGGAAACTTACTAAATGTAGAGAATGATTTTCAAGAAGAGTTAAGGAAGTTACAAATCGAAAGAAGAGACAGTTTGCTTTTTGTGCCTGACACAGAAAGCCGGAATAATTCAAATTTGAGCCTTCTTCACGAACTGAACAGTCCAACTAAAATCAAACCGGCTAGTCAAGTTTTCAACGTCTTCAACGTTACTATAGACAAGTTTTCTACTTTGAGAGCTAGCGGGTCCAAGCTTTCTGAACTAATCGGAATTGTTGAAGACGCCAGGAGTTTCAGTAGGCAAGATAGTGAAAATAAAAGTGATTTGGGATATGCTACTTTGCACAACAGCGAGAGAAACAGTGATTTTGGTAGTGTAGATGGAGAACAATTGTTAGAAGACAGAATAGGTTACATAAAGAGTGAAATAGAAGAACGATTAAGGAACTGCGAACTTACGATTAGTAATCCAGAAAAATCAGTCATTGTGACTGATTCAGAAGATGAAACTATTAGTGCGAAAAACATGATTGTGGTCAAGCAGAATCTACCTGATATTTTAGCTAGTTTAGATCAAGAACATAATCAAAATATTGTAGATTTAATTGAGTCAAACTCACTTCAGTTGAACGGGAGCAACAAATACGTCGATTTAGAACAAGATGGGATTAAGGATCTATGTAAAAGATTCATTGAAGAGGAAAGTTACAGTATTTTAAGTCAAATTAATGCAGCAGATAACAATAGTTTATTAAATAAGGATGACTCAGTACAAAAAGAAATTGATGAAAATATCCAATCTACGTTGTCGATAGAAGATAATTTACTTCAATCTGTTCCAAAATTATCTGACATGATTCGGAATAATACAAATTTAGTGGGTATTTTTAGAAATATTGATAAGCAGTATAATCAAAGAGAAGTGGTTAATGATAGGGAAGTAGTTCATAATGAATCTCAGACTGTACCTGATTTTTGTAGTAAAAATGTCGAAAATGTAAAAAGTAGTAATAGCGTAGATTATAATAATATCGAAGATTTTCTGATAATGAAGATATCCAGCGGTCAAGATGTGTTGCGGAAAGCTTCTATTGCATCGAGTTCGTCAAACTCTTCAAAGGAGCAGGTGTTTTCGGAAAGCCTTGTGCCAGAATTGAAGGATAGTTTTGTAGAAGGGCCTAAAATTGAAGGACTTAATCCACCAATAAGAAAGTCTGGAAATACCTTGCAGTTAACTGATGAGCAAGTTGAATTCAACGATTGCGACAGTTTGAGTCAATATTCCGAAGATGGTAGTATTGATTCTTTCTCAGCTGAAATTCTAAGTGAAGCTACGGAAAAAGAAATTAACGAAGAAGATTATGTTGGTTCAGAAAACGAATCATCAAAGGATCATGATGATTTAGTTAGTGAAACTGATAATTTAGATGTTTTTGTTGATGATGTTGTTAAGGAAAATCAGAATGACACTCAGCAAAATCAATCTTGTGTGGACGAGGCATCAAGGATGCATAATTTTGATGAAGATTATTACAAAAATCATCCAGTATCAGTATTTTTAGATGAAGAGAGAAAACATGCTCAAATTGATAACAAAGCTGAAAATATTTATGATGAAATTCAAGATTGCCAGACTAGCGGTACAGTTAAAACTGAAGCTGAAATTGAAGAAATTTCAATTGATAGTTTGTTAAATGAGAATATTGATAACTCTAAAGATATTGAACAGCTATCTTCAAATAATATCACACAGCATATTCAAAAAGATGATGAAACAAGTCAAGAAAATGACGTTGAAAAACCTAAACCGCTTAGTTTTGAACTTAACAAAACCTTTGAAAACACGAACGTACCGAATGTTAAACCCAGGGTTGCCTTCGATTTGAGTAAAGATCAAGAAGAAACAATGCCAAATTCGCTAACTCATCCTTCCATGCGCACCAGTACACCATTTAGGAAGAAACAAGAGCACTCTCTTACATCTCAAAGTCCCTATTCCAGTATCAACCTCTTTGACGCTCCTCAAACTAATCAAGAAGAGATCATGCAGTTCTCTTCAAACTTCTTGCCTTTAGAACCTGAACAGGCGGATAATCAAAATAAATTAAATTATTCACTGGAAACCTGGGATAATTTCTTGGGAAAATCATTTGATTCTAACCGGGGAAGTAACGAGAACTTGTTTGACAGTTTTAGTTCCGAACCTCAGAGCATGTTGTTTATAGATGATGCTCAGAAAGGAAATGATGTAATAAATGATGAAGGAGATACAAAAAGTGATAATAATACCATTGTTAAGGATAAAACGTTCGTGAAAGATGCAACGTTTACCAAAGATGGAACATTCCTGGTTGAAGATAATAAAGACGGTACTTATGTGATGGACAAAACGGAAAATATTGAAGAAAATAAAAAAGGTATGTTTGTTTGTATTTGTGTTGGATCTGTACTAATTCTTTTGTTATATTGTTTATTGTAGATAAAGAAGAAAATAACTGGGAGAGTGGTGGTGGATGGTTTTTGCATCCACAATTTCAGAATGATAAGCTAACTGGAGATATTGAACCTCAAGCAAGTACAAGCAAAGGTAATCTATACTAATATATAAAATCCTTAAGTGACTGACATACTGATTAATCACGATCCCGCTCAAACCACTCAACGTAAGAAGCTCAATTTTGGCATACAGGTTGATTCTAGGGTGTAGAGGTTCGATAAGAAGGGATTTTTCGAAATTCCAGTTACAAGAGGGTGAAACCACCCCTCAAATATTACAATATTTTTTATTTAAAAAACGGTCAAGTTTCCGAAAAAACGCTTAAACACGTATATTTATTTTCTTTTTTTTACATATTTTCAGATTTTTTAAAAATGTATACAGGGTGTTTCGAAAAATCTGGTCATTGATTAATCACGAGCCTGCTTGACGTTTTGCTGATTTTTGGAAAACAGATTGACTTTAGGGTGTAGAGGTTCGATAAGAAGGGATTTTTCGAAATTCGAATTCTAAGGGGGTGAAACCACGGCACATAAATCACACGGCAGGCTAACTCTGCCCAGATCCCATTGTTTAAAATTTCTATAAAATTTGACCTTGAAAACACCATTATGGGTGCCGAGTCAGGGCCGGATTAAAACGTATCAAAAAATTTCCCAGAAAATAAATTATTGATAGACAGGGTCGTATTAAAAAAAATACTGTAATTGACTGAACTGAATTGTATTTACACAATACTTTTATCTAAACAAATGAATCGTTAACCGCGCGTTCTCCTCGAAAAGTAAAAATTAAAAAATCAATTAAACATTTAACTGTAGTGAATAGACAATTAAAATTAAAAAACATGCCAGGAGTTACAAACAAGAATTAAAGAAATACACAATAAAATATCTATTGAACAATCTAAAGAGGCTACGTACAAATTATGTCCATCAATGGACAAAGCAAATTTTGATAATATTCAAATTGCACAAATTAACAAATCAGCTAAAGGAAGACAAGTAACTGATGAATTTAAATATAAATGTTTGGCTATATACTTTTCCGGGCCAAAAATATACGGCGTCATACAGAGCCGTCAAATTTGACAGCTGTCAAAAAAATTTCAAAATTGTCCGATTTTGATAAAAATCGATATATGGGATGGCCATGGGCTAAAATGAAAGAAAAAAAATTGAACTGTCAAATTTGACAACTGTCAAAAAATATTCCAAGTTGTCCGATTTTGATAAAAATCTATATATAGGATGGCCATGGGTTAAAACGAAAGAAAAAAAATTGAGCTGTCAAATTTGACAGTTGTCAAAAAATCTCAAACTTGTCCGATTTTGATAAAAATCGATATATTGGATGCTCCCTACCTCATAGTCGATTTTCATTTTATTTGTCTCACATTTGAACTGTCAAATTTGACAGCTGTCGTTTTTTTAAGTTCTCCTTTTTTAATAAAAATCGATATACATATTATTAGGATGCCCATAGGAAGTTATTTAAGAAAAAGAATTGAGTTTAAGTGTGTGGCACTGAGAAACCAGCATAACTAAAAAGTATAAAATAAATTTAAGAAAAAAACTTTTTAAAAGCAAGCTTTTATTTAAATACATTAAAAAGAAAAAAATAAACTTTTTCTTTAAAATTTTTATTATGAACTTATAACGTCATTACACAATTTTATATTATATAAAAGCTTGTCGCGAGATTTCAGTGTACAGTTGCACTCATAAAAATCTGGTACGACAACTTTATCTTGTAATTCCAATACCTTGTAAACCTATCATTATTCCCATCCAGGATAAATTCATCCAATTTAGAAGAACATTTAAAAAACTTTGTGTCCGAATATTACACACGGGTACTGAAAATTGCCAAAATGACATCTTATTAAAAACGGCAGACCTTATAAAAAACAACGAGACCTCTGTTCTTTTCTCTCTGAATTGTCATGAGCTATCCATAAAAATTAAAAATAGATACGGATAATCAGAAAAACAGTAATTTAGAAATGAATCTTGTTTGTCATTTTGCAGGATACCTAATAATTAAAATTACTTTGAATGCCGTAGACAATGATTGAGTATTAAAACTATAAGAATTTCGGACTTTTATTGTACTACTAAACTACAAAAACCAAATAAATCACACAATAAACAAAAATAAAACTAAAAAAAAAACAAAATATATCACTCAAAAAAAGAATGAAATAAATTAAGCCGCACGCTACTCGGCGAGTAGCCTGCCGTGTGATTTATATGCCGTGGTGAAATTATCCCTCAAATATTAAAATATTTTTTATTTAAAAACCGGTGAGTTTTTCGGAAAAACTCTTAAACACGTACATTTTATTTTGTTGTTTTACATATTTTAAGATTTTTTATAAATTTACACAGGGTGTTTCATAAAATATGACCATTGAGTAATCACGATTCTGCTTAAACTGCTTGACGTTTAAAGCAGATTTTTGGCAAACGGATTGACTGTGGGATGTAGTGGTTCGATAAGGAGGGGTTTCTCGAATCTCAAATTCCAAGAGGGTGAAAACGCCCCTCAAATATTACAATATTTGTTATTTAACAAACGGTTAGTCTTTCGGGAAAACGCTTGGATAAGCATAATTTATTTGGTTTTTTTACATATTTTAAAATTTTTAAAAAATCATACAGGGTGTTTCAAAAAGTTGGGTAATTTCTTAACCATGATTCTGCTTAAACTGCTTGACGTAAAAAGCTTATTTTTGGCAAACGGATTTTTCGAAAGTCAAATATCAACGAGATGAAACTATCCCTCAAATATTACCAAGTTATATAATAATATCGCCATATTGTTTTTTCTCATGCTGACATAAATGTGAGAAAATTTTATCCAGTTTGTATGTTAATGGAAATTCTTGCTTTGCTTTATCATCACCATCACAAATTATTAATTCGACGCGAACGAAGTCGCTGGTACACGCTAGTTAAACTATAATTCAGTATTCACAAATATTTATCAGTCTATTGGCATCTATTTTCCTTTCAAAATTCAAGTTATTTCAGTAATAGAAATGTTTCAATAATTATTATTTAGTTAGTGTATGTAATTTATTATTTAGTGTCAGTATTTATTATTTAGTCAGTAATGGCCGGCAGACATTTATAAAAGATAGACTAACCAATATATTTTCTTCGTCTATTTATATTACTTGTCTGATGTGACAGCTATGAACTTAAATAATAATAGTAGCAAACAACGCATCTATTGTAACCACACCTTTACTTACACGTAAAAATTCTGAACCAACGTACCGTTGCCTAATATATTTTGGTTGTATTTTTATGTAGTTTGTTTAAAATATAAAACTTTATTTTTTTTAGGAAGCTACGTAGGTTTTGGAGTGGATGACGAGATAATGGCCGCTATCAGGAACGAATTACTAGAAAAACTACCTCATGCGCAGGTACTAATTTGAAACGATTTTATAATAATTGATGTTTTAAAAACATTTGGGTGATTTTTAGGGGGCATCACAAGAAGCGGCAAAAGAAGAAGAGCTGGATCAAACAGAAAGAAATGAAGTCTTTCTTCGGTATAATGTGTATAATAATCCACTATCCCCTATTCCGGAAGAGAGTTTTGAAGAGAACGAAGATGATCAACCCACACCAGAAGCTACACCCCCCAAGTAAGTATTGAATTTCTACCATTTTATTTGCTAACATTCCATAATTTTTGCCTGCTTTATTTAACTCATATCATTTTTACCATTGCACACACTAATTTTCATTTTCGTTGTTTCTTAGGCGTTCATTTAATCGCAAGCAAGTTCAGACATTAGAAGCTTGTATTAGTCAATAGTCTTAATGTTTATTTTAAATTATTTTAATGTACATTTTATTTTATGCTTGGCTTTTGTGAATAGATTTGTGAATGTGCATAAATATATTAATTTATAATTGAAACAAGCTTTTTCTTAATTTGCCTTACTCTGTTTTAACTCACGTTTGCATGTTTCATATTCATTCTTAGTGATGCACTTATGCAGGGTTTCTCAAAGTTAGAGATATACAAACAAAATAAATGTAGATCCGACATATACAAACAAAATGTAAACAAACCGTTTTTTACAGTTTTATTGGACCACAGACTTAATATATATATTTTTTTTAATTTACGATCGTAATACGTAATTGGCGTAGTTTCAAAATCTTCATAGCAAAAGAAAAAGAGTGTTAAATAAATAAATATTCCTATTTATGCCAAAAGCATTTAGTAATAACATAAATAGAAGTCAAATGACATGATATCATAAAATTTATGTATAATATCTATTATACAGGGTGGTGACAATTTCGATGCCCAACATTTGCATTTAAGAAACTACAAGAGATACGAATTTGGTTAAATGAGACAAAAGTTGCGTTATTAGAAGTTTGGCAAACGCCTGGCAACAAAATCCCTGCATCTTTATAGTTTCCGTTTATGCCAAGAAAATGAAAATATTGCGTTTATTTTTGCAACGTTAATTGGTAGTTTTATATTTTCCCCTCTGCCAATTAAATGCCGTTTTTAGAAATTTTCTAAGCCTTCTAGATTTCGCACAACAGTCAAGTTTTTGTTTTCTTATATCTTTAAAATCTAAATTTCTTACTGTTAAATTTCTAGAAATTCCTGAGAATTTTACGATCAGGCTGTGCTCTTACATAATACACTGTTCTATAACTTTCTGATGCCTTATGAGAATTTCAACTGTTTTTCAGATAAACACCATACATATTTTGATTTTCTTTATTGTGTAGATTTTGGATTCTAGTAATACATTCTACACATTCATCTACTATACAATTTTTGTGAGGTATTTTCAATATTGCTATTGTAATCAACGAAAAATTTGTATTTTTTATGGTATAGAATCCTAGATCATATTATATACTTACGTGGATAAGTAAATCACTATGGAAACTGTCCCTAACATATCAACGACTTCCATTTATCTTCTTTTTTTATTGCACACGCGGTGCTTCTACTCTATCTATCCTTGTCGAGGACCTATCGCCCACGCGCCAAATTTGAACATTAATTTTAAAAATTTAATTTGTAAAATGCATATATTTGAACAATAATTGAATGTTACTGTCACAAAAATTAAATTAGTCACTCCGTACGAATATCAATATTCTTAGGAAATCTAACCAGAAAGTATGCATGTGGTTTAATATACATAAAAGAACAACTGAATACTTTACTTGCCTGTGAAAAGATAATTCGGGGACATTTATATTATAATTTCAACACACCAAACACTTTCTTGCCATTTTTACGAATATTTACCCATAAATTAAAACCCAACGAATAAAAAATAGAAATATAATTGCATAAACTTAAAATTAACCTCTCACTCAGCACACTTGCATCCTTGGCTATATAAAAGCGGTCGATAAAAGAGTAATTAATACAATGTTTAAAATAAAAAACGCAAAAAACAAGCGTCGTTACACAATGGAAATAACATTATGACATATGATTATGACAAGATTATGACAATAGGATGACAATGAAAAGGTGGTTTTCATAACAATGTATAATTTGTACTTTCTAAACCGGATAAAATTGTAATTATATTGGTAATACGTGCCACTTTTAATGCGCATGCGTAAAGTCAGGTCCTCGAGAAAGACAAACCTATTGAACGTTTCATAAGTGCAATAAAGAAGGTTTGAAAATGGCATGTCGTGATGTTGGAGACATATTTTTTAATGCTAAACTTATGGCGTTGATTTATCCACGTAAGTATATATGATCTAGGTATAGAATATTTTGCTGTATCTCGTAAAATAAAGTGGCGGAGTTAAACAACTGAGCTCGTTTAAAAGAGCTTTTCTTTCTTAATAATCTGCAGTATAAACTTTGTCTCCATAGATTTTTCCGTGGTAGCTAGAGGGCGCTGTTTGGCATTATAACAGACATTTCGCGTTGGCATAAAAAATAAATAACAGCCCATGTTCCTTTTTGCATAGTTAAATAGAGCAAAATTTTTTCAATAAGTCAGCGCAAACCGCAACAAAGAAAGTGACAAACTAGAATTTTTCTGTTTACATCTGGTTTGTATATCTTGGGTGCCTTCATTTTATACAGTAAGGTTTGTCTATATCGCTTTTTTGAGGGTATCTGGGTATCCTCACCTTGAGAAACCTTGCACTATTAATATATTAAAAATTGATCACTCGGTTTTGGTTGATAAACGATAACACCTACAATATTAATAATTACACATTACAAAGTAAGTAAGGCAATATATAAATCTGTGGTAAAACTTTCTCGCAAATGTTAGAATATATATGTATGTATTTTAGGTTGGAAGAGACTGACAGCGATTGGTCAGACCAGGGCGACCCCGACGGGCCCCAAATGCTGTCATCTCAGACCAATGAAAGTCCGCTAAGAGTTCCTAATCACAGACACACGCCTAGCCAAGATTCTTGCTGTTCTAACGATACACTTTTTAACCTGGAGGATTTTGTCTGTGCCAACGAAAAAGACACAACTCCAGACAAAGATTCTGAGAATTTACTTAAATTAGAGAACATAACGTTTAAAGTAGATGAAGAAAGCTCTGGTACGAAAGATAATCAGACATTATGTGCTGATGTAGTTGACGAAACAGGGGAAGTCAAAAGTTTAGAAGATAATACCGTTTCTAAAGATGTTAGTGAACCTACTTTAATAGTTGAGTCTTTAGACGGTAATACTGTAGTTCAGACGGAGATTTCTAGTCCAAATCAGGTGTCTACCAGTGAATTTTTAGATAGTGAGAGAAATCATACGTCTAGTATTGATGGTTTGCTTCCCTTTGGCACAAAGCAGGTAAAATGACATACAGTAACCACCAAAAGTCTGCAACAAATCGTTTATTTTTATTATTATGAAGCTATCGAAAAGGCAAATTTGATTGACCCTGTACAATCAAATTTGCCTTTTCGATACACCCTGTACCTACACTAACAAAAAATCATGAAAAAAAATATGTACCGGGTGTCCCGCTAAGAATAGCTCTCGGTTGTATCTCGGAAAGTATTAGCCGTAGGGCCTGCGGAAAAAAATATTTATAATAAAAGAGGCTATGAGAAATTGCTGGAAATTATTTTCAAGTTTGTAGAACAACCGCTAGCGGGCGCAACTGCAACAAAAAATAAAAAAATGGAGTTTTTGCACAATTTTGCCTACATAAGGTGTACTATAAGTAATAGCTTCATAATCTTCAGTAAATTTTGAATATTTTTTGTTAGAACCATTTTCCTCTATCTACCAAAATAAAGTGGTGGGGGGAGGTTAGATCTGTTTTTATTTAAAATATTTTAACTCCGGACTGGATGATCGGAATCCAACAAGCAAAGGCTCGCTTAAAAGAGAGTTTCTTACTCTATATAGTACCATATAAACAATAATAATACGCTTTTGAACGTAGACGCTAGGGGGCGTTGCCTTACAATTTAACAAACATTGCGCGTTTTTCCAAAAAAATTAAATGCGATAGTATATGGAATTTTAGCTGATAGTAAAGAGTAATAAAAGCTTAACAAGTCAGCGAAAACCGCATCTTGATATCTTTTTTCAACCCAAAGTTATTAGCAAAATTATAATAAATACGAAAATATAAACCCTTAATTACTTTATTTCTCGAACACGGTATTACTAGCCTTCTTGATTATGAACATTCTGACCAAAAATAAAATAGAAATGATTAGATTATTCTAAAATCGACAATATACCAGAATACCATATTACTAGATCTATTAATATCTAATAATTAAGATATCAATGACAGTTAATAAGAAACGACGCCTCAGTGAAGTCATGGTGCTTTGGAAAAAGTTGCTTTTGACGTAACAGTATAAACGTCAAAGTGTTATTAGATCAACATTTTGATACTTTTAGCAGCGTTTTTTCTCTGTTGAAGAAAGGCATTTTTAGAGAAAAACAATCAAAAGATAAAAAACGCTGCTGAGACTATCAAGATGTTGATATAATAATATTTTGATATTTAAACTATCCGCTTAAAAGCAACTTTTTTCCAAAGCCTACCATGAATTCACTGAGGTGTCGTTTTCTTGTTCACCGTCATTGGTGTCTTAATTATTAGATATTAATACACCTAGTATTATGGTTTTCTGGTTCATTGTCGGTATTTTGAATAAAATAATCATTTTTATATTATTTTTTATTAGAATGGTCATAATCAAGAGGGTTAGAAAAATAAGGTAATTAAAGGCTTATATTTTCGTATTTATTATAATTTTGCTAATAACTTTGGTTTGAAAAAAGATATCAAGATGCGGTTTTCGCTAACTTGTTAAGCTTTTATTACTCTTTACTATCAGCTAAAATTCCATATACTATCGCATTTGTTTTTTTTTAAAACGCGGAATGTTTGTTAAATTGTAAGACAACGCCCCCTAGCGTATACGTTCAAAAGCTTATTATTATTGTTTATATGGTACAATATAGAGTAAGAGACGCTCTTTTAAACGAGCCCCCGCTTGTTGGATTCCGATCATCCAGTCCGGAGTTATTAATATTTAAATAACAACAGATCTAACCTCCCCCCAACACTTTATTTTAGCAGATAGGGGAAAATGGTTCTAACAACAAAGATCCAAAATTTACTGAAGATTATGAAGCTATTATTTATAGCACATCGTATCTAGGCAAAATTTCTTAAAAATTCCATTTTGTTTTTTTCCATAGCAGTTACGCCCTCTAGCGGCCGTCCTACAAACTCGAAAATAATTTCCAGTAATTTCTCATAGTCTCATTAGTTAGTTATAAATATTTTTTTCGCAAGCTCTACGACTAATACTTTCCGAGATACAGCCGAGAGCTATTCTTAGTGGGACACCCGGTACAAATTTTTTTTCATGATTTTCTGTTATTGTAGGTACAGGGTGTCCCATTTTTATGTGTTTTACAGAGTATCTTGTTTTTGAGTAGAGGTACATAGATGCAATTTTCACATTACTGTGCTACTTTTTTATGATACTAAAGATGCTACACGCATATTTGCCCCTATTAATTCCTGTAATACTTGGTGAATTTGAAATTGTTACATTTTTTGCATTTCTCTTGTATCTCGGTGTATCTCGACTCTATAACTTATCGAAAAGGTGAAAACTGAGTCCAGTAGACTTTTTGACGTAGAATTCATTGGCTTAACCACTTCTTCGTTCGGAGTTGTAATTTTTCAAATATGACCCAAACTTTGTTTTTTATAATATTGGCCTAGTACAAACCCATGTTTTTTTAAATGATATAGCCTGCACACAAACGCAGCACCCAGCGAAAAACTAGCTAAGCCACTGGTTTCTATGTAAAATAAAGGACACCTCTTTGATAAGTTATAAGATAATCAAGTTATGCAGGGGACGAGAAATGCAACATTTTCTAATTTGCCTTGTATTTCAGGAACTAATAAGTCTGGGACAAATCTGTGTGTAGCATCTTTAGTTTCATAAAAAAGTAGTGCATTGTAAAATGGTCAATCATATTATTACTAAAAAAAAGGTTTTATATATTCGCATATTAATTTTTATTGATATTTTTTTGGCAATAACTCAACAATAAGAAATCTAATTGTTGCAAACTTTCGCTCGTAGCGTAGTTGGTAAAATTACTTATCTATACTCTTTTATTTTTAAAGGTTGCCCCACTTCCTTCTCCAGAAGACAATCCCTGGAAATCATTACCTGCTTCTTTACTAACTTTTGAAAAAATTACTAACTTGCCAGAAAAAGCTGAGAGTTTATCAGAAAGTTTAGAAGATACTTCACCAGAAATTTTAAACACTCCTAAAGGAAATATGACAGAAGAGGGAAATACAACTTCTGATAAAACCGATGTTACTTCAGATAGAGATAAAATTGATGATGCCACATACGAGAATATCGACAATTTTGTTGAATCCAATAATACTGAAGTAGATCTCTATATGAACGTCCCTGCTTCAAGTTCAATCACTGACGCTGTGTATGAAAATATTGAGAATCCAGCTGATATAATCAACGAAGCTGACTACGTGAATCTTATTAACTTGGAGAATGAAGAGAACAGAAAAAACAACGAAATTTCATACGAATCCAAGGATTTTGAGGATAGTTTTGACCAAAAAGACCGGCTAGTTATTGAGAATGGCGATCACGATATATTTGGAGTTTTGACGGATATAAGGTTCAATGGACCACTAGATAATCAGCTGATGTCGACGTCTTTTAGCGAGAGTAATGAAGTTGACGAACAGGATTGGGACAGCGGTTCGGATACGAGATCAAGTTCGAGTGGAGAATTTATATGGAAGGTAAGGATATGGGTTTTTGGCTTTAAAAATATTAATAATTACTGTGTATATTAATTTGGTGTTTTTTTGTTTAAAATGCTCCTATGTTTTTTTAAAATAATTGTTTAGCAACAAAAAATATGTTTTGTTTATACAAGATTACAAAATACTAACTTAAATGATATCTTTGTGGGCGGTTCATTTTTCCAGTTTTTTGGGAACGTCACCTCTAACTTCAACACTTAAAAATTAAAATATTTGTTTACTTTAAAGCGCAACTAGGTTTAGAGTTCAGGGATACAATTATTTCTTATACTCTTTGAAATGTTAAATATTTTGTACGCAGAAAGAAAAAAATCGTGGGTGTTTGCGACATTTCGCGACTTTATCGTCGCTTCTTCAGGCACTATAGGAGAAGCAGTTTTTTAAAAAATATCAAAATAAAATTAACTGGCCACTTACCCAAAACATATATTAATCCATATTATGCCTACAAACATTCATGGCGATTTGAATCGCCAACACTAAGCTACATAGGGAAGAAAGAACAAAAACTTAACGGGTATTTTTTGCCCGATGTACAGGGTGGGTCAAATTCGACGCTTTTAAATGGAAACACCCTTTTCTGTAGGAGATAGACAAAAACTAATATCTGCGTCTGGAGCTCAATTTTTGTCAAAAACATGATGGTGAAAACCGCACATCGATATCTGTTACCGTTTCGGAGTTACGGGGTGTTTTTCAAAATATGCATTTTAACATTTGTATTTTTTTGTTATGAAAATTTTGTATTTTTATGAAAACATTTCAAAGCACCTTTTACGTAGAATTTAATGGTTTAAGTATATTTTTTAAATTAATAATTTAAGAATTATCAACAGAAAATTTGATTTTTTAGGGGGACACCCTGTATATTTTAATTTATTAAAAGAATTTAAAATTACCTTTCCAAAAATATAACACACTTGATATTTTGCTCGATTCCTCTTCGAGATATAGAGTATATAAACATTCGCCCGCTTTAAATAAGTAGGCTTTGAACGACACCGGCTGTAATGCAAAAAAATTCTAGCTGTGAGCATCAATTAAAATGAAAATAATATTTGCTATGAGAGATGCAGAATTTTATAACAATTTAAAATATATTTAACCAACATCAACATTTAAACTATATCTAGTAACAATAAAAATAAATACCAAGACATGAGATTTTGCTACAGGTGTTCGACATATCAACCGTCTTCTGTTATGGACAGACGGGGCAGTTTTTGAAAATTCTCGCGGAATTCATTAACTCAGTGGGGGTGACAGATACCCTCTTATAACTGCTAAGTATTTTTAATTCTTGTCTAGATTATACGGAAGAACAAGGAACCTTTATTCTTCCGCAAATATATCCATAGGATTAGATCCATGGTCACTGTCAGGCGGCCTCGACGGCCAACGGCTGGGATCTTGGTTAGCTATCCAATTATTCTTGAAATTGGCTGCAAAAATTTGCTGATAACTTCAGCGTTCAGAGGCGGTGCGTCGCTTTGCTGGAAAAATATGTTTTCGAGTTCCATTAAGGGCATATCATCAATATGGGGTCCTAAAGCCTACTAGTTAAAAGTGGTGAACTTTTAAAAATTCTGTATTTCGAAGGGGATTATAACAAAATATCAAGTGTGCTATATTTTTGGAAAGGTAATTTTAAATTATTTTCAGTTAATTAAAAATATAGAGGGTGTCCCAAATAAAAAATCATTTTTTTTGTTGATAACTCTTAAATTATCAATTTAAAAAAATATATACTTAAACCATTAAATTCTACGTAAAAAGGTGCTTTGGAAATGTTTTCATAGAAATACAAAATTTTCCATAGCAAAAAAGTTATAGCGATTTGTTAAAAATGCACATTTTTGAAAAACACCCCGTAACTCCGAAACGGTAACAGATATTGATGTGCGGCTTTCACCATCATGTTTTTGATGACTGTTTGATGTTGAGCGATGTACACCGATGCTCGGTTTGTGTCGTACTGACACCAATTGAATTAATTTCGGTACCAAAAAAGGATTGATTTTTTGTTTCCTGTATCATTAATTTCTTTCCCATATCTCATATCATATATGCCATAAACAAACAAATGGAATCATAAAAGTGGGCCTGATAGTAATTAAAATTAAATAATTTTTTGAAATTGTTTGTTAACAAATAAAATATAACAGAATAAACAGAGTATTAGAAATTAAAGAAAGATATAAAAGAAAAAAAAATGCGTTTGGTTGAAATCGAATTAAAAACTAAAAAAATAATACATTGAGTACACAAGTAGGTATATATGTATAAACAAAAATAATTAACAGGTGTAGAGAAAACAACCACAAAACTTCAATTTGGCAATATAAATACTGGCAATATTGCCATAACAATAACTCTGCACAAGGAAAAAACACACAATCGCGACGGAAAATGTAAGAGATCTTTAAAGAAAGACACAAAATGTTCACACCCGAAAGCACCTCCAACATACCAAAAAGCCCTGCATGGTTAAACCTTTCTTCTTTCATTAATTTTTCTGTACTTATTTAAAATGTTGCTATATATTACATTGAGACCCTGGGTATCAGACCTCATGTTGACCGTTTTGTTCAAATTAATATGAATCATTTCGCCTTTATTGCGTTTGTACCAGTTTGGTTCTCTCTCGAGAACCATAACATCATCAAAATTAAATTCATGTCCGGTGTCAAAATGGTGTGAGGCCAAAGTAGTTTTATCTTTTTTAGATTTGTTCCGAGTATTGCAATCATTTCTATGTTGATTAATCCTATTACCTAAATTACCTATTGCTCAGTCTGACCTATGTAACAACTGTCGCAAGAACAAGGAATGCTGTAAATTAAGTTGGATTGTTTTAGCAACGGAGTTGGATCTTTGATCTTAGTATACAAAAACGATGTCGTTTTTGAATAATAAAATGCTAGTTTAGTGTTAGTGTTCATAAAGCATCGATTGATTTTATGCGAAAGGTTATCAATAAAAGGAAATCTGACATATTTAGTTCCAGGTTCTACTAACGAGGCACCCAGTTTTTTAGATTTGTTCCTGTTAATACATCGGTTTATAAAGCTTGAAGGATAATTGTTTTGATGTAAAATGATCTTGATAGTCTCAATATTTTTACTAAAAAAAAGATGGGTGGCTAAGTTTTTCAGATCTATTTAATAGGCCTATAATTGTTGCTCTTTTCTGTGAAATTGGATTATTTGAATGAAAATTTAGAATTCTACCTGAACTGGTTGGTTTTACGAACCAATGAGTCATAAGTGTCCCGTCCTCATTTCTGAAAATTTCAACGTCCAGGAAGGATATTCTGTTGTCCGTCTCAATTTCGGAGGTAAAACTGAATTTTTGGATGGTATGAGCACCAGAGAGGTCATGTGGCGAGAACATCTAAAGACAGGTGGACTAGAAGATTGTTAGAATGGCGACCTCGAGTAGATAAACGTAGCTGAGGCAGACCACCGACACGCTGGACCGATGATGTAAAGAGGATTGCTGGAAATTGGATGATGACGGCCCAAAATCGAGAGACATGGAGAAATATGGAGGAGGCCTACGTTCAGCAGTGGACAACGATGGCTACATGATGATGATGATGATGATGAGCACCAGAAACACGGGGAAAGAAATTAATAATAAAGGAAACAAAAAATCAATCCTTTTTTGGCACCGAAATTAATTCAACTTGTGTCAGTACGACACAAACCGAGCATCGGTGTACATCGAGCAAAAAATATCTGTTGAGTTTTTGTTCTTTCTTCCGTATGTGGCTGAGTATTGGCGGTTGGAATCGCCATGAATGTTTGTAGGCATAATATGGATTAATATATGTTTTGGGTAAGTGGTCAGTTAATTTTATTTTGATATTTTTTAAAAAACTGCTTCTCCTATAGTGCTTGAAGAAGCGACAATAAACTCGCGAAACGTCGCAAAAACATTGTTTCCTGTCGAGCCTTCCTAGGAGAGCTTTCCCAAACACCCACAATTTTTTTCTTTCTGCGTACTAATTATTACTGGGAATTAACAATAATCATAATAGTTAAATATTTTTTGTTAATTATTAAGTTTTTTGTTAAATATTATTTAAGGGCTATCTTGCTTTTTAGTAGTGATCGAACCTTACGGTTTTCACGAACCTGAGCTTAATTTTTCTGAAACAAGGGTGCAATCGAAATTCCCATAGGTTCTGTATTTTATATGATACAGAGTAATTTTTAAACTGTTACCAATGTTCCAAATACATTTTATAAAATCTAGGTTTAGATATTTTGATTTTTTAGTGCCATGTTTCAGTTGAGATATTTCCATAAAACTAGTTAACTTTTTATTTTGTCTGGTAACAAAAACAGGTATGGAAGATAAACTAACCATATACATACATTGTTTTAACCCAACATATACAAATAAAATGTAAAAAAAAAATTTTGTTTGTTACAATTTGACCACAGACTTAATATACTATTTTTTTCAAGACGTCATTGGCGTAGTTTCAGGATCTTTATAAAAACCGAAAGAGTGTGTGATAAAACCTATTTATGCCAAACTCATTTATAAATTACATAAATAGAAGTTAAATATATGTTATAAACATAAAACTTTCAAGCTCAGCTTTTTCATGTTGTAAGATGAAACTTAAAAATAGAAACAAAGTAAAAACATCAAAGCATTAACTTGTAAATAAACGACTGTGTCAATCTTTGTATAAAAAATCTAAAATTCAATATGATCGAAAAACAAACGGCGTCAGCGATGGCTATGAAATGAAGATCGCTGTCATTTTGTATGAGAAATGATATGGGGAATTTCTTCAATCTTTCTTTTTTCAAGCCAACTGGACGCCGTTTTTTTATCATACGGTACTAACAGTGATATTATATGTGGAAATTTTTTGTAAATTTATTTTCCTGTTCCTTTAATAAGTGTTGTATGTAATATTGTGTTTTTGTGTATATTCCCGTGTAGGAAGGGGAGCATGAGGAATCACTCAAAGCCCTAAGAGCTGCCCCGCATGACATGGTAAGAACCCTCTTCCTTTGTAGATAATCTTTGTCAAAAAAGAACATTGTTATAGTACCTAAATATTAACGAACTGTTTTATTAGTTGGACGATATTAAGCCAATGGAGGAAATAACGGAAGAAACTTCCGGAAGTGACGTCAGCAGTGACGACGACGGTGAAACACCGGAATTTGTACCTTCAGCCTGGGACAAGTACGCCACACCGACAAAATCAGCTCTACGGTCTCCAGAAAAAAGTCTGGAAAGATCAGATTATGTAATAAAAACAAGATACAATTAAAACATAATTTAAGACATTTTTTTATTTCTAGAAAAAGCCTAGAGGTGTCTGGTTTAAAAAACAAAAATACCATTGCGTGTACGAATATCCCAGAGAACCTGAAAGCCCCATTTTACAAAGTCAGGACTTGTGGAAGCCTCAGCCCGATTTTGCCGCTATTTCTGGTAGGATTTTTGGTTGTAAAACCAATTAACTAACATAGATTTGATTTCATCCATTATTAATCATCAAGCTTAGATAATATATACTTCATGGATACCGTAACACCATAAGATACGTTCACAGTGTAATACAGTGATTTCGTCATGCCACACACAATTTTTTTTTCATTAAAAAGACTAAGGAAGTAGTTTAAATGCTATGTTTATACAGGGTGGCATGGCGCCTCTCATATGATGCGGAGGCTCCAAGGAGAACAATAGTTTATATCGAAATAAAATTTTTGGAGCATATGTAGGTTAATTGAAAGCATTATATAAAAATATATAGAGTTCTACAGGATGCCCCCAAAAAACTTACGCATCTAAGTTGTTTTTTTTGTAACGGAACACCCTATATATTAATTGATTTTGGGATTCTAGGAAAAAAATCAAGGTGAGTTTCGTTAAAGAGGTATATGCCTAAAATGTAAGGTTTAATTCCAATTTAGGTAGCTGTTATTGAAATTAAAATTTATTCTTCTTTTTTAGAAAATGTTAAATATGTCAAAAACCTTACATTTTAGTTACATACTTTTCTAATGAAACTCACCTTTATTTTTCTCCAGGAATCCAGGAAATAAATTAATATATAGGATGTTCCATTACAAAAAACACAACTTTCATGTGTAGCTTTTTTGGGGACACCCTGTCGAACTCTCTATATTTAAAAAAAATGCTCTAAATTAACCTACATAATATGCTCACAAAATTTCATTTCAATACAAATTCGTTCTCCTTGGAGCCTCCGCGTCGTATGAGAGGCGTCACACTGTATACATGCATTAGAGACGGAAGCGACGTCATGGAAATACCTTCTTTTGTCAGTTTTGTTTGACGTTTTACTCGACACATTTGAATTTCTGTGGGTCTGTTGCGGTTTTTTTTTATTTTTTTTGGTTATTTCTTGTATTAATGATTGGTTTAATGAGTAAAAGTTTAAGTGTATAAATCAGGAAAGAGATTGTGTCTGGGCTTACAGTGAAGTTATTTATTATACATCTTAGAATGAGGTTTCAAAAAAACTTAGTTCTGCAAAGCGCGATCTTTTCTAGATAAAAAGAAACATATAACATAATGGAACATTTTTACTAGTAAGTGATGTTAAGATTATGGAGTTTGTTTAGAGATAACTAATAATATGTTTTTATTTTTGTAATTTTTTGATTTTTTGTCAAAAAACAATTTAATACGTCAATTTTACGAATTTTACTTCTTTGTTTCAGTAGCGTATTTGTGTTTTTATTATTAAATAATTATGTTATCTTGTTTATTTTTGTTATAAATATATTTTTTAACAAATATAAAATAACTAATTTTTACTTAGTTTATACAGGGTGTTCAAAAATGCACGTTCAAATTTCAGGAGGTGATTTCTCGTCAAAAATATGGAAAAAGTTTTTATAAACAATGGGTCCGGAAAAACTAAAACTACGCACGTTTTAAAGATACAGGGTGTTAAACTTTATTTTTTTTTCTTCTTCCTTAGTCTTTTTTTAAGTTCATTTATTTATTTATAGTTTTAAGAACATTTATATGTTTAGGAAGATATATTATTTGAGAACTTTTATCAGTTTTATACAGAGTAGGAAGGTTATAGCGTTATCCACTAATGTATATTATGATCTATGGCATCACAGTTTCCTACCCCAGCTTACTCCATTTCATCAAGTAGCTTCTCTGTTAGTGTCACTGATTCACCTCTATTTATTTCACTGTCACAAACTTTCGATTCATCGGCAGAACATTTCCTCATGTATTTAGAGTAGTTCTCACGGTTCAAACGTCATTTCATCACGATAATCGATGATTGTAGACTGGGAATTTGACGCGGAGACCTATCTGCCCCCACCCACTGGTGATAGTGACATAATTCCGAGTACCTTTACCTTCAAACCTAAAATTAACAACAGTAGACGTAGTTTATATTTCCTTACGAACATTGATGGCCAGGGTGCAAGTAAGCAACTAATAGATTCGCTTTTTTTGCCTAATTTTGCTGTATTTTTTTTAATGTGTAGTTAAGTCATCAAAACTGAAAGCTTTATTCAAACATATAGGGCCTAAATCGTACCGCTCAGCACAAAAGTTCAATAACTTAGTGTTGTGATTATTGCGAATATTTAGTTTGATCTTTTCAACATCTTATATATTTTTTTTCAGATTTTTATTAGCAGTATTGCAACAGAAATATAAATTTTTCAAAAGCGTCGCAAATAATACGATTCGGGAAATTGGTTACCATTAAGTAAGTTACCTCTATGGTACCTACCATCTGAAATATATCTGAAACATATCTACATATTCATAATTAACCATAATTTTGAAGTTGTTTAAAAAATCACATTAACCTTTAACTTGTTAATAAATACCATAAACTCCGAATCAGTATTTTTATCTGCTTATAGTGCTTTTACTACTACTACTGTCAGTTCTACAAACATTTCTGTCGACAGACATAATCGACAGACTAAACTTCTAAAATCAATTTGTAGCATTTGACATACTTACAGTTCATCCGTAAGGACTATTAAATATATTACTGTCCTAAATCCTACTGATACAAATTGAGCAATCATACAGAGGTACTGTTTTAGGCAACATCTTTGAAAATAACAAAATAAACTGTTTAGCGTTTTTTAGAAATAAGGTAATTCTTAACCATGTGGAATGTTAGGAAATGTTCTCTAGTCTGAGAAAATACATGTCTTACAAAGTCTTACTGTAGTTTTGATGACTTAAATACTGGTTAGAGGGTATATATTTTTAGAGGAAGGGTATATATTTTACAGTACTGTTACAGGAGAGAATTGAAACTTAACGCACCTTAACAGAAGCGATTACTCTTTTTTATTTCTAGAATCTAGGGGTTTTTAATGTGGTTTATGGTTGATTTATACTTCAAGTATTAATCCTAACCTTATCATTAACATTAACCCTAAGAATTTAATCTTTTTACTTAACTTAAGAAACTGTCGTTCATACTTCTCCTCATTGTCTTAAGAGCCTATTACGCTGTATTGTTTGGGTCGCTCTGCAGGGTCGGGTAAAGCGGGTGTGTGGCCAAAGGAAATATATGTTATATTTCAGAAATCTGCCTAACGCTTAGCCCGATCCTGTCGTGTTAAGCCACACCCAAAATTCCAAACACACGTGCTTTGATTAAGGCTTGATTAAGTTTTGCAGAGGTTCAGCATTTGCCATAAAATAGCGAGCAATTTGTTACAAAACCATATAAATGATATATCCCTGTAATCACAAAACTTCAATCTATTTCCGTATTGTAACGGAATTTTAAATTATGTCTTTATTTAGAAAATTTAGTCCAAACATAAATAATATTTTGCTGATGTTTTATTATTTGTACATAAAACGTTAAATGCCGAACGCTTATTTTGCTACTTTTTCGGACTAGTGAAATGGACTCTTAAGAATATTCTAGTATGTGCGCTTGTGCTTATATCAAACATATGACTTGTGTTAAACTAACTTTAATTTAGAGACTGGTTTTCACAAGTATAATATTCACTTGTTTGTCAATAAACATGTCAGTCATTTCTAGATCACAAAAATATGCGCCAATTAATTTGGTTATCAGCATTAGATCCTAAGAATATAAAATGTCACATATTTCTTACGACTTTTGTTAGGGCTAAGGCTAATATTAAGATCGATGGTTTATGTACCATCGATGGTATGAACACTAGGGTTCGTTAACGTCGATTCATATTCTTGAGATTAGGATTAATGCTAGTGTTATGTTCGGAAGCATAAACCAGCCATTAGGAATTTTCATGATGTTCGAGATAATTATTAGAAGTGTCGCTACTGTAGTTTACATAGTTCCGAGCTGTCTTCCTTAACATATTCTCAAATAAGTTCAAACATCCTAATAAACCTACTTTACAAGATATTTTCTTTCCTAGGTCATTCAGGTACCTCGGAAGATTTCATGGTCTCCAGCTCGACGAATCCATTCGATATCAATCCCCTCTGTTCTCAGTTCTTCCCCGGCAGTTCCAACTGGATAGGGAACGTGACTCCCGACAGCGGTTTGGAGGATTTGACTCCAGGAAGTGTGAGTGACACTTCCGAGCTGTCGGCGAGTTACCAGGAGCAAGGTAAACAGATCCAGCCTTTGAGGAAATTGGCCGCCGTTGCTGTCAAATTGAATAAACAACAGGAGGAGAATAAAGGTAGATATTTAAAGTTTGCTTGGTGTAAAGCTGCGTCTACACGTAACATTTTACCTGACGTCTTACCTGTTCAGTCAAAACGTATCAAGGAAAACAACTGGGTCATTCAGTTTTACAACAAAACTGTCGTTTTACCTACACTGAAAAAAAATTAGTTCATACTTTTATTAAGTAAATTTACAAAAAATAATATAGACATATTACGGACACAGATGTAAAATGACTTGGGTTGGGTGACCGGCCATTGACGTAAAAATCCAGAGGGTCTGGATAATATTGATAAGCTGCAGAAAAATCTATCGATTTAACCACTTTGTCCAGGCATTGACGTTAATGTTCGTTTTAATGCCGGCGGCGCACAGTGTAACGAAATCGGGAAATGCTAAATGAATAAAATAAATGAAAAAAAAAATTAAATGGATAAAGAACATCCCAGAGCTCCATCATGTGAGATATTTCTTGAGTTGACCTCTTAGTCGGGGAGTTATGGCGGGTTAAAGTTATGGTTTCCTTAATTTACCAAATCTGTACAAAAATTTCATCCAATGAAATTTATTATTTTCAGAAGTTTCCTTGTGTTGTTCAATTCCAACAATTTTTTTCGTAAAGAGAGGTCTTTTACCAACAACAAACCTGAAAAAAATGTCCCAATTTTTTTCAAGTCTAGTTTTTACATGTTTATTATGACTTTCAAAAAAACGCTTACATTCGCGCAAGGTTATATATACAAAATATCATAGAGTGAACCTTCTAGTATACTGTTACATATAAATTTCATCCACCTAGGTCCGAACCTGGAAGAAAAAAATAAATTTCTTCGGCAATAATTACGTTTTCCATTGATTCGACCATAGTTTTTATCCGTAATTTTTTGTGCTATAATTTCTTTATTGAAAAAGCTATACGCTTGAACGCTTGCTATGAACATACTGAATGCTATTTTAGGGGCGAGGAACCATCCTCACATTGGGGTGGGAGACAGTTTACAACAATTCAGAAAATCTCAACATTGGAGAAAAATTACTTAAGAGAATATTTTTTCAAACCGGCAAAATTTTCTTTGATGTATTTAACATTCCACCCTCAATGCTGCATCTTTGTTGATGCGGTGAGTCGGGTGAAGATCATTCAACCGACATTTTCGACCTTAAGCGCCTCAACTACGGATCGGAAAGCATTCAAAATTTAGGTTGATAACATTTTTATCGCCAGCCTTTGTTTGGTGTGTTTCTTTTTTTATCTATCGACAACGTTTTTTGTTTTTCACTCTTATCTGCAGATGTAGGCATTCGTGTGTTTTTATGAAAAGATATTTGAAATGAAAACAAAAAATTACACCGATATATTTTTATTCTTTTATTCAGTCTCTATCTTAAAACCGGTACCGTTGGAATAACTTAGTGGTCTTGTTGAGTCTCGTTTTGTTACTGATATTTTTATTGTGAAATGTGAGGTTTGGAGGAGTGTTGGTGCCAAAAATGCAAGATCTAAAAACAAACCGTTGTTTGTTTTTGTTTTTGAAAAACAGAAATGTAAATTTCAAGGATCATAAGAAACTTCTCAATATTATACTATCTCAAAATCCAGTTCAGATTCCAGAAAATATTTCTGGAGATTTGGAAGACTGTTTAAGACATTTTTGTAACACCTTGCATTCAAAATGGACAAAGAGAAATTATAAATTGGATTATTTTACTGTGAGTGAATCCGGTTGGCTGGACAAATCCTTTTGCTAGCCCCAATCATTTCTTGATTTAGTAGGACCGGCACCTTCTCAAACGACCAATAGTGGAGAAAAACCGAAAAAACCATTTGGAGAACTCTGCTCAAAACAGAAAAGGGAAAGAACGCAAAGTCTTACATCTAAACCAACTGAAGAACTTGAGTTCTCCATGAAAATTAAGTTACGATTGCAACAAGAGTTGAGCAAAACTTTTGAATATCTATTGGAAAATCCCGAGGAAGTCAAAAGAGAAAGCGATTTTCTGTTTCATCCTAAAAAAGATATAAAAACCGTCCAAACAGATAAGGCTCTGGCTATGATGAGTTCTTTAAAACTTTCTACTTGGCAGTATCGTACTTTAAGAGAATTTACGAACAACAATATTGAAAAGGACAAATTACCATCATATTACAAAGTTCAGGAAGAAAAAGAAAATTGTTATCATTTCAAAAGAGATATCACTATAACCGAAAAAATAGCTGAAATTAAACTTCAATCGATTCTTGACCTTACTGTCCAACGAATTTTAAAAACTATAGATATAGACGTTTCGGAAAAAAACCTTATTCTGACTAGTAAATGGGGGTTTGATGGTGCAAGTAGCCAAAGCGAATACAAGCAAAAATACCAGGATTTTACAACATCAGAACAGGATGAATCGTCTGTGTTTATGACCAGTTTGGTGCCTTTGAAACTAGTTACCGAAAACGACAAAATCATTTGGGAGAATCCAAAACCTTCGTCCATCCGTTACTGCAGACCTGTCAAGTTCGAGTTTGTGAAAGAGACTAAAGAAATGGTCAAAGAGCAGTTCTGTAACATGCAATCTCAAATAAAAGAACTGCTACCAACATCTTGTGATCACAATATTTTTGTTAAGCATGATTTGCATATGACCACGATAGATGGCAAAATAAGAACCATAATATCCATTACACCATCTTCGTCCACCTGCCCTATCTGTTTAACGAAACCGTCAGAACCGTCGAGAAACCGTCAGGTTTAATCCAAATCTTGAAGCGATTTGGATTAAACCTGCCAGAGAAGACGTATACAATTATGGATTATTAACACTTCATATGTGGATTCGGTGTATGGAATGTCTATTACATGTCTCATACAATTCCGACTTCGAAAAATGGACGGCTAAAGGAGAAAACAAATTAAAAAAAGATGAAAAAAAGAAAAAGATTCAAGTTGCTTTCATGGATGAGTTAGGACTAAAGGTGGATATTGTTAAGCAAGGCCGAGGAACAACAAATGACGGGAATACCGCTAGATCATTTTTCGATATATCTTCAAAAATTACTGGTATTGATAATAATTTGATATATCGCTTTGCGCTAATTTTACAAGTAGTGTCGTCTGATGAAAAGGCTAATACAAGTTCACTAAGGTACATGAAAGAGACAGCAGAACTATTTGTTTCCCTTTACGGTTGGTATTATATGCCTTTAAGTATTCATATGCTTTTGATTCATGGTGCAGATATCTGTGAACGTTTTCAATTTATACCCATCGGCAAAATGCCAAAGGAAACAAAGAAGTTCCGCCAAAATTTTTTCCAGGAAGAGTGGTCGTAAGGAAACTAATGAAGATATATTGCACAACTTATTGATATATTCAGATCCTCTACTTTCACATCTGCGACCAAAGCACTCTAAAAATAAAAAAGTAGACTTGTTTCCGGAAGCGAAAGAGCTCTTGTATATGGATGGAGAAGAAATTGAGAATGATTTTTAAGCATGTTTTATGTAAGTGCCTTACATATTATATTATTTTGGAATAATATACACCCCACATAAATTATCGCATCACTTATTAATTTGGAAAACTGCCTATTATTAAGAAAAGTATTCTTAAATTCTCTTGGTTAACAATAATCTCAAAAGTTACTTTCATTAATAGCAACTTGTTAAGGAATGGAAATTATATCATAACTCAGGCAGACCTTAGATTTAAGTTTTTCACATAAAAATGTTTGAAGCGTTTCAAGAATAAATACTACGAAAAATATAAGTGTTGCGAACTTTTTTGTGAGGTGTGTATTATGGTTTCCTTTGTTGAAGCTGAATACGTTTTTTCGCATATTATCATAATTATTTAATAGTGTCAAAAGATATTTGCCACTTGTGTCGTTCTCTTTGAGTTTTGTAGTCTTATCTAATTTATCCCTGATTATTTGAATATTTAGGAATGTTGATTGAGTTTTGACATATTAGCGGGAGATAAATGATTGTTCGACAGTAATTTGATAACGTTTTTGGTCCATAAGAGCTATAAACTCTTCGTAAATAAAAAAATATACCTGTAAAGTCCTTTTATAAAACTTCGTATTTTTTTTGGCCTTCCATTACGCCTTTTTTACTCTTTTCGCCCTGTAGCAAAAATTCCTAGTCGTATTATTTAATTTCTGTCAAAAAATGTCAGCAAGAATAGTGAAAAATGTCCCACTATTTTAGTTTTCGTTACACTGTGCGGCGGCGGTCCTGATAAAGACTAGAAATAAGATATACGGGGTGGTCCGAACTGTATTCCGGAAACTTCGACAGCATATTCCCAGATAAAAATATGTAAAAAAGTTCGTATAAATGTATGTCCTAAAATGCTGAGTTTCGTAGATACAGGTTGTAGAAATTTCATTTTTATTTTGATTTTTTCTAAATAATTTCTGAAGTAACGTTAATACTTGGATGAAAATTGGTGTCTGGAAGTTTTTTGACATGAGAAATTTGATTTTGATGTCAATATGACTCCAATTTTTAGTGGGCGCCACCTACATGTATTTTAACTGTTTTGAAGAGTAATCACTTTTAGTTTGTACCTGTATAAAACCACTGAGTGAAAAAATATACATTTCCGTAATTTTTTACGTTAAAAATGTCTCTTGGTAAAAATCGCTATGAGCAGCCGTTCTCAAGATGTTTAGAATAGGGACAGTCAATACATGTCATTATTGATAAAAAATAAACATGTTGAGTAGGTAGTTATTTGACTAAAATGAGAAATTTCGAAACTTTTTATTTTTTTAAATTAGTCATAAATTTTTCTTCGAAAAAATGATAATAAAACAGTGTCTGTTGAACTTTTGGCACAAAAACATTATTACGATTTCAGTCTAATAACTATTTAGTCAACATGTTTAATTTATGTCAATGATGACAGGTATTGATAATTTCGATTCCAAATATCTGAAGAACTATTACTCGTAGCGATTTTTACCAAGATTTTTTTTACGCAAAAAACGTCGTTAATGTATATTTTTTATTCAGTAGTTTTATACAGATACGGACGAAAAATTATTACTCTTCAAACCAGTTAAAAAAGATGTAGGTAGCGCCCTCTACAAGTAGGAGTCATATTGACATCAAAATCAAATTTCTCATGTCAAAAAACTCCCAGACACCAATTTTCATCCAAATATTGACGTTACTTCAGAAATTATTTGGAACAAATCGAAATAAAAATGAAACTTCAACACCCTGTATCTCCAAAATTACGCATTTTAGGACATACATTTATACGAACTTTTTTACTTATTTTTATCTGCAGAATATGCTGCCGAAGTTTCCGGAGTACAGTTCGGACCATCCTGTATATCGTCCTATTGCTGCCAAAAGTCATTAACTGACATTTTTCCGAATAACCTGAAAATTTAATAACTAACTATATATTGAAGCGGAGAATCCATTGAAACAGTCATTAACTACGATTTCTGGCTATTTATGCTGTATTTTAATACAGAATAGTCAGAATAGTCACTAACAACAACTTTATGCAATGTAATTATTCTTTAGACGCGTTTTTCTCGGAAGTAATAAAAAGTAAGTTAGTGACTTTTGGCAGCAATAGGACGATATGTTTGTTTGTTTTTTGCCTACCGGCTGACATTTGAAGCGTCTAGCCCCTACCAGTGACTATCCCGTCGACACGAAGTTGCACAATTGAGTTTTGATTTTTTTGGTTTCAACCGTTTTTTTCGCGACTTTACTGTTTTAATTCAATTTTAATCCGAATTTGATTGCTTTGATGTTTTGAATTTAATATTCGATGTCAAAGTCAGCGTTCTTTGGAAAGGGCTACCAGACACATTTAGGAAATGACAGCTGTCGTATTTCAAGATTTCTAATTATTATGTAGTCAATAACGTTATTGTCCGGGCAATGACTGACAAAAGCAAATCTATACTAATATATAAAATCCTTAAGTGACTGACATACTGATTAACCACGATCCTGCTCAAACCACTCAACGTAAGAAGCTCAATTTTGGCATACAGGTTGTTTCTAGGGTGTTCGATAAGAAGGGATTTTTCGAAATTCCAGTTCCAAGAGGGTGAAACCACCCCTCAAATATTACAATATTTTTTATTTAAAAAACGGTCAAGTTTCCGAAAAAACGCTTAAACACGTATATTTTATTTTGTTTTTTTTACATATTTTAAGATTTTTTAAAAATGTATACAGGGTGTTTATTTTTTCACAATAAGCTTTGCTTGTATAAAAACGAAATTTAATCCGCAAATACAATTTTGTGATAAAATTTCATTTTTTTTAACTTCACTAAACACAAGGCTGTAATTGATAAAAAAAACCTTTTTCAGTGCCTCAATGTTAAACTTATAACCAATTTTCAGTGGTTTTTATTCCTGTTCTAGCTTCAAAAGATGCATTGGGTGGTTTACGCCACACCCGCAACAAACTCAAACTCGACCTACCGCCCAGTCCAAGCGCTTTTACCACCAGCAAGTCTTTCAGCATCGAACCATCGCCCGAACCAATAGTCCTGAGGGAAAAACCCACCTTTTCCACCTTTGGAAAAAGCAGGTTCATGGTCCAACAAGTAGACACTCCAACAGAATGCATAGTCAACCAACAAAAGAACGTGTGCTTCGATGTACTCCCTTACAAACCCTTGGTAATCCCCCTTGAACTCAAAGATGAAATAATTTACGAACCTTTAAAAGAGAATTTTGACGAAACCACTCGTTTTTGTTCGAAAAAAGATGTTTTCTCTAAAGGAGAAGCAAGTTTGTTAGACAGCGCAGACGAGGATAGCGGTATAGAGTCCAGTACGTTAGAGAGAAAGGTCAATAACGAAGCGGCTAAAGAACATAATCTTAAACTCCAGTAAATGGAGGTAAGGGTTGTTTTTAGCTGTTGATGATAACGTTGAGAGGTTTTTTGTGATAATAGAATAGTGTGGGGCTTTTCTTAGGAGGTATCTATGAATTTCGGTAGTTTTTAAGTTGTTTTTTTTTGAAGAAGATATATGGCAAGAAAAAAAGACGATATTTTCCTACTGTAGCCAATTCTTTTTGAATTTGTAGAAAATCAGATCATGATAATAGGAAATAGAAAAAGATATAGCAATGATCATAGAAGAAAAAAAGAACACATCATAGAGACCCAGTATCCAATTCTGATCCATTAAAAATATTCATTGAAAGATTGCTTCCCAATCATACAACTAAAAGACTATCAAACTTGTAATGTATGATTGAATGAAAACGTCATCACAGTAGGTATACGAAGATTATTTTAGTTTAAGCACATCTATGGGTCTCTAATTTATTTGATATTCTTGTTAAGTGTTAATACCTTAAAATTAACTTCAAATAATTTCTGAAATGTTTATTCTTAAAAAATTGCTTGTACTTGTTATATTATTGTGTTTTAACGTTTATTGATTGTACGCCAACGTTTATTGATTTCTCTATATACGTTTTTTAAAGGTCTTTATGATGTGTAGCAATTTTATTTTAGCGCTTACTTGAATCTCCACTACAGGGTCCGACTATTTCTTGTAGTATTTAGACTGTTTTTAGTTTGAAGGTTTATTTTTGTAATCTATGTCAATATAGGTTAGTATGTATATGTACTAGTTTTTTAGTTGTAATATAAAAAACGTTTGTATAATTCTTGAAAAAACACACTTTTTTATTATTTTATTTTGACGTATCGTGAAGATATAGTTTTAATCTATTTTGGTACAGGTTTTAGTTGGAATTTTATTACAATGAGACAAAGGAATGAGGTTAGTAATGGAATTTGGACACAATCGCAAGATATTGCGATTAAAGAGACCATTGTGATAATTTTATTATTTTCCAGTGTTTTATTTTTGAATAGGTTAGCAGTCATTTTTACAAAATTATATTTTTTGTCTTAGAAACAAACATTTTGATCTCTTAAATCACTTCTGCTAAAAAATAATGCCACTGAGGTGATTATTATAAAGTATAATATATTGTCCTAAAAAAGTAGTAAGCAGTTATTTATAAAATTTTATATATATTTTTTTATAAATTTTGGTTGAGGCTATAAAAACCTGTTTGTTTTAATTTTCCTACAGAGTTTATGAGATACTATTAAAAAAATATTGGATAAATTACTAACAGCTTCAAATTAAACTTAAACATATTTGGTGTGATTTGAGATTTATGTAGGTATATCATTTAGTTTATTTTTTATTTAGCAAATTTTAAATAACTTTGCTAAGTCTACCAAAAACATACATTTTTTGCTTAATAAAATATTTTTTAATATTAGCTGGGAGCGTAACAGATATATTTTCCTTACTAAATAGAGTTAGATTTGAAGTTAGTACAAATCGACACATACGATGGTATAGTGATTGAAAAAAATGGTATGGAGATATATAATATTTTTTTTTTATAAAATACGACCGAAAAAAAACCCGTCGTCAGTTGGTCTTTGAAATAACCTCTATATAATAATAATCTTTATATTTAAAAAAATTTATATTTAATTAAAAAAAAGTTTCCATATACATATGTACACAACTCTATTCAGTAAAAATTATTTTCTGAAAATAGATTTCTGTCTTAAAACTTTGTATTTTTTTCTGTATTGAATATTAATTTTTGACAAATTTTTTATAATCGGATTTTTTATAAATTACGTTTTCGGGTATCATCGATCATCATTTCAAAGGCTACTGCGGTGTCGTTTTTTTTTGTGACAGTATGACATGTTGCTTAGTATGCTATTGTATAATCTCAAAAAGAAATAAAAAAACAATACAAAATTACAGTAAACAAACAAATATAGTCTGTATAACAATCATTCAACGTTACGTGATCAATATTTTCTATAAAAAAAACAGTCGGATTCGAATTTTGTTTGACAGCACGGTGGATTTCTAGTTTTGACACTTATCAATATCCCTCAACAGAATCATAACATAACCACAAAAGTAAAGTGACAAATACTATAGAAACAATATATGCAGTGACATACAGTCTATTTCATTCTGTTTTCACGGGAAAGAAAGAGTACGACAGTATATGGCGTAACGTTGATCGCTGGTTGCATATTACTTTAATTTTGATTGTATAAAGATTGATGTTAAACTGCCAAGTTTTAATGATTTTTAGGAAGGAAAGGATTTGATTTAAGTGTCGATCGATATCTTAAGATATTTCTAGTTTTTAATTTCTGTAGATAATTGTTGTAGATATATATTTATGTCCGTATCGGATTAAGTAACATGTGATTGGTTATTAATAATTCTTGTATTAGTAGGATGTAGAAATTAATTGTATTACAAAAATAGGCGTAGTTATGTTAATAAATGTTTTATCTAAAGAAATAAGCATATTTTATTTAACAATTTAAATATGTAAATACAGGTTATCTTAAAATACACATTAAATATTTGAAAGATCAAAAATGTATACCTATAAAATATCAGATCTGGAAAAATTTAATAATTTTATCTTCATAAGATTGGGTGCAAGTAATCACTCGGTTTCCTCAATATTATTTGTACTTCTTTTCCAAATAATAACTAAACCTTCTAAATCACTAGTTGCCAATAGAGATTCATCATAGTTAAAGCTGATACTTAAAACGGAACTTGAATGACCTTGTAGTGTGTTAACAACTGCCTTAGTACCGATTTTTTCAACGTCTACGAAATACACACTGCCATCTTCACTTCCAGTTACTAAAAAAATGTTCCTTTTTAGTTTAGAAAAAGGAGACTAGTCCTTTATATTTTTGTTACAAATTGTTATTGTCATCCTACTGACATTAAAATAATAAAGGCAAGTTTGCAAGTGATAATAAAGGCAATAAAGGCAAGTGACCAGATGTCCGTCATTGTGATGGACAGTCCGCAATTCAGACGCGATGTCCGTCAAAAGGTCACCATATTCAACATTGCCCGCCAATTGACTTCAATCAATTCCCTGTCATCATTAAAGCACACTTTATCAGCTTGTATTTTTTTCTTACCCACACAGGCACCTTCTCTGAAAGACATGATTGGACAAAAAGTTGATCTAACCATATGTCTGCTGTGGCGATTTTGGAACTTCCTTTTGAGATACAGTCCACCTTCACTATCAGTTACACTGAAAAAAACATATTATTTCTTTCGGTGTTCCTTAATGACATGCTTATATTTAAGGGGGTGATTCTTGGGTATATTCTACGAAAAAAACTTCATATTAATGTATGTCCTAAACATTTTAATTTTTGAGATATCTACCGGCTGGTAAAATGTTCTAAAAATAACTGTTTTTGATAATAACTCTGATGTATTTGTAGGCATCTTTATGAAATATGATACACGTCTTCTGTTCAATGCATATATTTTGATGCAAATTTTTTTTTGTTGTATCTCTTAATTTCCATTCAATCAATGTGGAAACGATTTGCACACAATAATCACCGAATCAGATTTTTAGCGATTTGACCCTGAAGTCTCATGACTTTAATTTTTTATAGCAAAAAGTATGTTTCAGACGAAAAAAATCAAGAGATGAAAATTGTTTAGAAATGAATGAAGATCTTGAAAATAATGTTTATTTCAAGAAAAGTCACCATTTTTTCAAAAATATTCAACGTATAAAACCATAGACTTAAAAATGTATAAAACCTTTATGGACGCTACTGGTTGAAATAAATAATATTGTTTGTACACCAAAAAAGGCACTTTGATGTATAGAAGACGTGTATCGAATTTCATAAAGATATTTATAATAACATCAGTGTTGTCATGAAAAGATTTTTTTAGAAAATGTTTCCACCGTCTATCTCATAAGTTAAGATGTTTAGGACATTCATATGATTACATTCATATGATTTTTTATCTTAGAATAGGTCTAAGAATCACCCTCTGAAATATTAGCATGACATTAAGGAACAATCTATATATTTTTCTACCATTTTTACCTAAATAAGCACATGCTGTTATTTGTAGCATTAACTAACAACAACGGATCTCTAGCTTCCCTACTAATCCATGCTCTGTAGCTCAAATTTGTAATGATACAGTTTGGATCAAAAGTTATTTTCTTTAGTTTACACAGAGCCCCATTTAGCTCACAAAATAGTGACACAATTTCACCCCTGTTGTTACCTATAATGAACTTGAATAATTATATTATTCAAATAATATTTTAAAAATAAATATTTACCCGCCCATAAAATCTTTCCATTATTGTCCGTTGTGATAGTTAAAATACTTCCTCCAATTTTACAAATGTTTTTCAAAAATAATCCAGTAGATACATTCACTATTCGTATATCTCCTTTACTGTTACCTATTAGAATAAGGTTATTATTACTTGGCTGAAATATACAGCATAACATCTGTGCAGAATTTGGTTCTTTTAAAGTTCTTAAACAGGCAAAATCAGAAACTTTCCACAGTTTGATTGTGGCATCAAGAGATACACTCGCAATCAGATCATTATTAATTGACCAGTCAAAACCTAGAATAAATGTGATAAATAGGTCAAAACAGTGTTTTGTAAATATTCTCCACCTGGGACAGCTTCTGTATGTCCTTTTAATACTGCCAAAACAGCTGGAGGATCACTTGTAACATCACATATCGATAAATTACCATCTAAAGAGCTGCAACATAGCCTGGATCTGTCATTGTTCGCAAATTTTATCATTGTAGTAGCTTTGGAATGCTTTGAACAATATTATTTATTTGAATAAGGTTATATTAAGGTTTAACTAAACTTACTTGATCAAATATGTGATGAACTCCACTAAAAGCATAATTCTCAGCTATAGTATTTCCACCCACTATAGCCTTTGAAGCAAAAGCTTCTTTAGTTGGTATGACAGTGTTAGTTCTTGAAAATTGAGGCACTTGAAGGTCTGTTAAAATACTGGTCTGTGAAAGAACACGTAAATTAAAGATTATTGAACATTTTAATGTGATTTTAGTTTTTACTTACTCTGCTCATAGTTCGAGACAAATTTGTGTTTGAACCTGAGTCGGTTTTAGAGTTGCCATACCTCTGTTGCAAAAGCATTGCTCTTAGTTTAATATATTGTTTCCACTGGTCTGAATTCCGGTCAGTTTCTCGAAGTAGCTGACTTCGTCTTCTTATATATAAAGTACCTAGAATATGCCATTTTTATCCACAGTTTTTAGATAAATATCAAAGGCTAATTTACGGAAATTTGGGCTCTCTGGAGCCCTGTGTGCGTTATAGCGTGCATCTAATGCAAAAACTTGCTGTTGAAGCGCAGTTGTCATCATAAATAAATCGTTAACTCTTCTTGTTTGTATACAAACACATCAGCACAGCACATCAGCTGATTGTCAATTTGACATTTTCTTTTCAGAGAAAAAAGTGAAATAGACAAACTTTTGGTTTGGACAACTTCTTGACAGAGGGCACCACTGATATTGCCTTTTATTTAAAATCCTTTAAAATACAAATTTAGATCTTCCAAGTTTAAAGGATCTAATGGTACGTACACGTTGGTGCGCTGCGCCGTTTTTTGTTCTAACGAACATCCCGCGATCCATAGAAATCCCGCGAACATTCGTCTAGCCGTTAATCATGTCTCTAGCGTCCGAAAAGAACTACGCAACTTTAATCATGAGTAGTGCGACTCTTTAAACACTCCATTAATAAACAATATTCAAAGAAAAACACAAAAAAGGGAATTTATTCAAAGAAAATACACAGAGTCACTGATAAATGCGCGCGGTGTCTTCACCGGCCGTCCCAACTGAACAACGAACAAACAAAGCGGAGCGTCGAAAAACCCATAAAATAATTAACCGATTGGAGATGGTTCGCCGATGGCGCGCGGAGCGCGCGCAACTTGAATATACGTACTAATAGAGGCGAATCGGTGCGCGCCAATGTGTACGTACCATAAGAATATAAAATAACTTGTGTACCTTCTTTCATAAAAATTACAGTTTATTTAAAAATACTTTAATAGACAGGTAAGAAATAATAAACAATTAATAAATCTGTAAAAATCTGTATGCAAAGTTATAGTTACAAAACTTGTCTTTATTTAATATTTTTTGTCTAATCTAGGATGATGGGGTTGTAGTTGTGATCGTTAGGTTGGTCCAAAATCTTTCTTCAATAAAACTGTGGAAAACTTCAATTCCTGCCCAAGTTTCTTGAACTATTGGTAGAATTTCACTTGCGAGGTTCAAGAATGCGTATCTGGCAGCTAAAAATAACATATAACTTGTGAGGCTGAAATCTTTTTATAGACTACGTTCATATAGGTACTGTATGCTCGAAAAAAAAACGGCGTCCAGCTGGCTGAGAAATGACGACCAGTGACATTTCCCATATAAATTTACATATAAAATGACAGCGATCTTCATTTCATAGCCATCACTGTCGCCGTTATTTTTCGATCATACGGTACTTACATCCAAGTGGAAGTTCGATTGTATATGACAATGCTGATCCTCCGACCGCTTTGGCCCAATCAGCACTAGTTCCAGCAGCTTCATACAAGCCTAGTGCTGATGTATCAACCATGTATACAGAGTTTAGTTTGTTGGCATTGTATATTGCTTCTGCTACTAAATCTCCTAGATATTTTAGATCACCTACGTCATCTGGCACGATGCGATCGTATCTGTAAGCAAAGAAAAATGATCCATTACAGAGCTGCAAGCTCACAGAAAACTTTTCTTTCTGTATTTTTTTGACTTAAATAATTTTAATGACTTAAATCATTTGATTTTAAGTCATATTTCGAAAGCTGACTTAAGACGTTAGAAAATTTAAGTCATTTTCAAAATGACTTGTGATTTAAGTCTTTATTCCGAAATAGAAAAAGATTTAAGTAATTAAAAAAAGATTTAAGTCTTTTCAGAAAAGATTTAAGTCATTAAAAAAGATTTAAGTCTTTTATGAGATTTGTCTTTTTTTTCATATATTTTTTATCATAAATTTTTAACAGCGGCATCAAATATGTGTTTACCATCTTTAGTTTCATAAAAAAGTAGCAACTGTGAAAACCGTATCTTTGTACCTCTGCTCATAAACGAGAAACACTAAACACTGCAAAACACCATTTTCGCATATTATGCGAAAATGTCAAAAGTTGACATATGACATGTCATTCTATTCAGAGTGTCATTTTCTATCGAATAAAGTAGAAATATACCGAGAGTGCCATTTAAAAATCAAAAGTTGTAGTCATTTCCGGTGAAACAAGAAGTGACTAAAAACAATTGAATACATCAATATCAATCCTAAATTATGTAATATACTAACATTCCAAATCTTATTTTTTATCTGAAAAGTTAAAAACGTTATAGGGGTGAGCCACTTTTGAGACGCACCCGGTATATTCCAAAACTCCTCTCCAAAAAGATAACAGAATAAATCCTTGAAGGAAAATAATTTACATTATCTTATAGAGGATAATACCGTATGATCGAATAAAAACGGCGTCAGCGATGGCCAGTGGCTTAGCGACAAATTATGAACTTGAGTTAACCCCCCCAGCCTATAATATAGGGAATAGGGGTATTCCCTATTTTAAGAGTAATTCTATATTTATATTATTTTATTTTATATGAATATGAAGCTTGTAGGTATGACCAATTCAGGAAACAAAATTGGGGAATATATCTCAACTTCAAACCTAATATAAAACTCAACTTTAATGCATATAAAAACAAAACAATATATACAATATACACGATGTGCGAAGAACGTTACAATACAAAAAATATTATTTTCGGACAAGGAACAAGACCAAAAATATTCTTTGAAACTAGAAGGAATAAAAACTGAAAAACGTTCAGGCACCTAGTTCGCCTAAGTAGCGAACAATAATAAAGAACAGAAACAAAATAAAAAATACTCTTCAAAACTAAAGCAATATAAACTAAAAAAATCTTTGATTTCTAATCAAGCGAAAAAGAAACAAAATAAAAAAATATCCTTTAAGACTAAAAAAAAAGATTTCGGGCCCCCTTTGGGCCTGGCGCTACGCCACTGGCGATGGCCATGAAATGAAGATCGCTGTCATTTTGTATGTAAAATTATATGGGAAATGTCATTGATCTTCATTTCATAGCCATCGCTGACGCCGTTTTTATTCGATCATACGGTATTTATGATCGCAATATTTAAGATGCTCTATCTCAATTTTTTTAAATGCAACGCCCTGTATATTATTTTACTTTTAGTTGCAGAAATATATAACAGAAATTTTTCGTATTTTATGAGTTCCTAAATTTTTAACAATATATGGATAGCCATTATACTCTTTACTTAATCTTTTTATTCAAAGATGCTAATAGTTAATTTTCTAGTTTATTTTAGCAATACGCTATTCACAATGATGCGATAATTGAACAACTTTTAGAAACATATTTTTTTTTAAAAGGACATAATACTTGCCCCCAAGGATAGAGTAGCAAATTGCCAAAGCTGTGGAAAGTGAGGTACAATTTGACAGTGCCGTTGTTAGTAAAGAACCAGTCTTTCAAAGCAACTGTTTCCGGTTCTGAAAATGCTTGAGGTCCAGCATAAGTCTCGGCACAGGGGGTTGATGATGCTCCAGCGTGCATCCAGTAATAATCAAAGTTTCTGTTGCCGTCTGTCCCTCTGCAATCGGAATTCGGGAGGACGCTGCGAGTCTTTCGCCACCATCTTTCCTATAAAATTTAACAAAAATGCTCATTTGCATTAGTTATCTAAGTAATAAACTTGTAGTTATCTGTCAATGATCACGTAATAATTTTCCTTAGACTTTATTAAAGCCCAATATCCAGGTGGACATAATATCTCTGAATATTTTATGCACCAGTAGTATTCCGTCACGTTGTCAATAGTAAAAACCATAGAATAACTAACTGTAAAAACAAAGCAATCAAGACATTCTAAAGGCCCTCACAGATGTTCAGTTTTTTTCGCACTGGTCGCCTGTGCAGGTCAGGCTGTGGTAAAGAACTGGTTTGTGGGTATTTTAAGATTTAAAAACTAACGGCTTTTGTTTCTGTCCACTCCCATCAAAAAGAATAAAGGAAGACCATGAAGGTAAATTACAGAAGATACATATATAACAACTTACCTCGTCCTGGGTATATTGGTAGCCATCTGGGTTCAAACAGGGAATGATAGCCCAGTCTACGTTCTGATACAATGCTGCGTTCGCAGGGTTTTCAACTAATTGATGAATTATGTATAAAGCTGCGGGGGGAGCAATCCATTCTCTGGCGTGAATTCCTGCGTCTATGAATATAGTTGGTTTGGGCACATCGGGATTCGAACTGGGACCACTGGACACCCTAAAAAGATGATTGAAGGAATACCATGTGATCGAAAACAAAATGGTGTCCACTTGGCTTGGCGATTTTAGGTATGGCATTCCTCATATAATTTTACATATAAAATCATCTCTGATGCCGTTCTTTTTCAATTTTATGGTAGATTTATGGAGTTTTATCAGTATCAATTTTTCAAGAGCGGATGTCTGCTGTAGATATTCGCGAATGCAATAGTGGATATTAATTAGTTGTTAATAAATATTATAATAAATAATTACACCCCCACAAAGTGTGCGATACCGTTGCCACACACTTGATAACGGTCAGTGATACATCTGGCCGGAAGGTTGTGTAAGTAAAAAATATTTCGCAAAGCAGCCCAGTTGACTGACATGACGGTACGAAAAGAAGGCGCGAGAACAACCAGGAGCTAGGCATGTTCGGACCTGAGATTTCAGTACCGGTATCCGGTTGGACCGGAAGACCGGTTGGGACCCGAAGACCGGTTGGGACCTGAAGACCGGGTGGGACCAGAATATCGGATGAACAGGTAAGTACACGAGTCGTGAGAATGCGTCATAACTTTAGATTTTCATTGTTTATGTTTTCATTGTTTATTCTTGATTTCTTGTCCAACATTCTCGTTAGTTATGAAAAATGGAAAAACTACAGGAAGAGCAGCTCTTCTTAGATATAAATGGAGCGGAAATTTGATGCTATTTTACATATATTAAATAATAGAGTAGACGCCCTTGAATATCGGCCTTAGTTTAAAATTTACTTGAGTTAAAGCTTTAAGGGAATTTTAGATGTACTAAAAAAAGAAAACTAGATTACTAGACCAAACTTGACTAGCACATGCCTTAAACATACATTAAAATAAATTACATTGTATGTTACCGTATTATACCGAATGATCGAAAAAAGGCCTCCAGTTGGCTTGGAATTGAAATCGGTCTTCCGGTATCGATTGAAACCGGTCTTTTGGGACCGATTTAAACTGGTTTTCCGGTACCGATATCAAAACTGGTCTTCCGGTACCGATACCAAATCCGGTCTTCCGGTACCGGTACCTAAACCGGTATACCGGTCTTGAAAACTAGACGCATTTTACATTATCCACACGGAATCCAGTAAAAAAACGTAATAGATACGTTTTAATTTCGATGCTGAATTTTTGTCCACCCCATTCAAAGAATTACGGTACCTTATAAGCAACATATCTCTTCCTTCAAACGATGTTCCAAAATGTTCCAGTTTTGTGATTTCAGGATATTGACCAGCCAATCTTCGTAAATATGCATTCATCTAAAAAACGTATCCTCCCCAGTAGCATACCATATTGGCGCATTATTGGTTCTATATTGGTAAAATATTGCATACGGGCACAATATTGGCAATTTCTAGCTAATATTGGTAATATATATGAGCCAACCTTTTCTATACCGGGTGCGTCTCAAAAGTGGCTCACTCCTATAAGTTTTAATTTTTTCAGATAATAAAACGAGATTTGGTATATGACATAAATAGTATATGACATAAATTTTCCTCTCTCGGGGGAGGTCAAGTATCGAGGAATCACGCTTGATGCCAAACTGACCTGGAACCGACCTTTTGAAAATGTCACGAGGAGGGCGGTGACTACACTAGCGGTAGTCAGACGACTTGATGGTGCACTGGCTGTACACTGGAGTGGTGAGGCCTTCGGTAACATATGCATCCTTGGTATGGCGGCCTAAGGTAATGCAACAAACAATAATGCTCAGCCTCAGCAAGGTGCAAAGACTTGCTTGTCTGAGCATAACAGGGGCGATGAAGTCAACGCCCATTGTAGCAATGGAGGCGCTTCTGGACTTTCCGCCTCTTCACATAGTCTTTTCGGTCACATTCACTGTTTCACCGGAAATTACTACAACATTTGATTTTTAAATGACACCCTCGGTATTTTTTTACTTCATTCGATAGAAAATGACACTCTGATTAGAATGACATATTATATGTCAACTTCTGACTCCCATATGCTTTATTTGAAATTGTAGCATAGCGGTTCATAACGACAATTTGACTCGAAATGCCAAGTGTGTGGTACCAAATTACTCGTAAAAATGATTTTTCCTGATATGCTAACCAGCCATTCTTGTTCCATTTGAGAAAATTGAGATATGATTAAAAATACGATTTGAGCATTTTTTAACAACCGGCTACGACAAGACACGAAAAACATTAGACGATCAAATCTATTTCCAAGGCTCCTTGATTAAAATTAGTGTTTTTAACACAGCCATGGCACTAGATTTAAATTTAAAATACGATTTTTTTAAAGCGAAAATGTCAAAAGTTGACGTATGATATGTCATTCTATTCAAAGTGTCATTTTCTATCGAATAAAGTAAAAATATACCGAGGCCATTTAGAAATCAAAAGTTGTAGGTTAGGTTAGGTTAGGTTAACATACCAAATCTCGTTTTTTTGTCTGACGAAATAAAAAAGTTATAGGGGTGAACCGCTTTTGAGACACACCTGGTAATTCGGAATATTGGGACTGTATATATCTATAATATTGGATTTCATATAAAAAATATACTCGTACATTGGGCCATGAAAAAAATCTGTCTTTTCCATCGTTGAACCAATATGTAAATATAATATTTTATCAATATTGCTGTGCTACTGGGGCTAGGACCTATATGAATTATTATCATATTCTCCATTTCTTACACTCACTTCATGATGAAACATGAAACTTCTGAACGTAACATCTCCCAAACCCATAAACGGTCTAAGTGAAAAAGTTCTTCTTTCAGCTTCCATAATTCTAAAAACGTCAAAAGAATAATAAAAAGGGTATTAAATACCATTGTTATTAACTTACTCTTCAACATTTTCTACCACGATTTTGTACTTCAAACCAATGCTTTTAAGGATTTTTTCAATTTCTTTTTGATATTGAGGGGCTACAACGACCTCATTTGGCTCACCCAGAGAATAAGCTTCCTTGAGAAAATTTAGACCAGCTTGTTTTTCCAATTCCCGCAAGTACTTCATCTCGATTATATCATTTGCAACAATCTCATACAGTTTATACCTAAAGTTTATTAAAAAATATATATTATAATATATAAATGGTATTTTAATTTCTTACTATACTTTTATAGTAATTTTCAGGGTGGTCCGAACTGTATTCCGGAAACTTCGGCAGCATATTCTACAGATAAAAATGAGTAAAAAAGTTCGTATAAATATTCGTCCCAAAATGCTTAGTTTCGGAAATACAGGGCGTAGAAGTTTTATTTTTATTTTGATTTTTTTCAAATAATTTCTGAACTAACGTGAATATTTGGATGAAAATTGGAGTTTTTTGACATGAGAAATTTTATTTTGATGTGAATATGACTCCTATTTATAGGGGCGCCCCTACAAGTGTTTTAACTGTTTTGAAGCGTAATAACTTTTCGTTAGCACCTGTATAAAACTACTGAGTGAAAAAATATACCTTTCCGTAATTTTTACCTAAAAAATATCTCTTGGTAAAAAGAACGAGAACCGTTCTCAAGATATTTAGAATGGAAATAGTCAATACATGTCATTATTGACAAGAATAAACACGTTGAGTAGATAGTTATTTGACTGAAATAATAAATTTGGGAAATTTTTATTTTTTAAAATAATCATAAATTTTTCTTCGAAAAAATGATGATAAATCAATTTCTGTTGAATTTTTGCCACAAAAACATTTCGAATTTATGATTTCAGTCTAATAACGATTTAGTCAACATGTTTATGTACATTATGACAGGTATTGATAATTTCGATTCCAAATATCGAGAACCATTACTCGTAACGATTTTTACTAAGAGATCTTTTTTACGTAAAAAATGTCTTAAATGTATATTTTTTTACTCAGTAGTTTTATACAGGTACGGACAAACATTTATTATTTTTCTAACCAGTTAAAAAATATGTAGATGGTGCCCTCTACAAGTAGGAGTCATATTGACATCAAAATCAAATTTCTTATGTCAACTCCCAGGCACCAATTTTCATCCAAATATTGACGTTACTTCAGAAATTACTTGGAAACAATCATAATAAAAATGAAACTTCTACACCATGTATCTCCGAAACTAAGCATTTTAGGACATACATTTATACGAACTTTTTTATTAATTTTTATCTGCATAATACGCTCCCAAAGTTTCCGGAATACAGTTCGGACCACACTATATAAAGGTTTTCACGCAACTTCCGCATTTTAGGATCTAATTTAGATATAAATTTGAATGTTTTTAGAGAAACTTTTATCCTTGCACTTTTTTCTATGTATTATAGATTTGAAAAAAATAATGATTTTAACAACTTACCCTTCATAACTAAAACCATTGGTCCAATTAATAAGTAAAGAAGCACACAAAACAACAACGCTGGCTCTCATAGGCATTTTGTCCATTTACTTGTGTAAAAATGAAATTAACTAGTTTTTAAATTATAACATAATCTAATTTTTAAAACTTTTATGGTCTATTTATCATAATCAATTTTCGTTTTTTAATTAATCCAGATATTAGATTAACTTTTTTAACTTATTAGACTGTAAATCCAGGCTTACGAATTTGTCATTTTTGTTCGAAATTATTAGATATAGCAATTTGTGGGGAGATTGCTCACCTAAAAGTAAGATTTATTTTTCATATCAACATATAGGTCCAATTCTGCTTTGTTTCGTAGTTAAAGAGTGTTAAAATCTGAATATTTTTTTGATTTATTATAATTTTCTTCCAAGTACTTTTAGCGTTTCGAATGAAATTTTGAGGGTAAAAGGTACTATATAATATATTTCAATGCTAAAAAAGTGTCGACATATTCACCAGGGACGTGCAACGCCACTGATTTTTTTTCTCTTGTTAGTTGCTTGTTTTCTCTCGAAATAGTGTAACCGGTTTAATGCCGATTAAAAGTTGTGTCTTGATATTTTGTCGATTTCGGCCTCCTTGATGAGATAAACGCAATTTAATTAATTTGCCTTAATCCAAGTCTACTAGGAACCTCAAAAAAATAATATCATTAACTTGGGAGAGTTTTAAATAAGTACTCATTGATTCCTGTTCAAAAAAAAAAAAAAAGAAATAAAGTTCCTAAATGCATGGTTTTAAAGTTACAGGATCTACGTGTATCTTATCAAGGAGGCTGAATTTGACAAAATATCCAGAGATAACTTCTAATTGACATTAAACGGCCTACACCATTTTGGTATGAAAAGAAAAAACGGCAGTGGCGTACAGTGGTTTTTTTTCAAAATATCCCAGTGATAACCCATATGCACATCTCTGATGAATTTATTTCCACTTTTTTAGCATTAAAATATGTAGCACCTTTAGTAACTTTTACCCTCAAAATTTCATTCGAATCACCAAGAGTACCGGGTGGCCAACTAAGAATGGACGCCGGCTGTATCTCAGAAACTACTTATCGTATAACTTTGGGAAAAAAATTCTAATAAGTAAATCGACAAAGGGAAATCGGTGGAAATTATTTTCAAGTTCGAAAAATGCCCGCTAGGGGGCGTTTCTCTAATAGCCAATCAGAAAACAGGATTTTTCTCAAAAATATGCAGGTGAACAGGTATTTTAAATATTACTGTTGTAGTCATCGAGAAATTTGTAATTTTTTTGATATAGAGTATTTTGCTCTATTTCATAAAATAAAGTGGTTAGTGGGGAAGGTTAAACTTGCTTATATTAAAATAAGGATAACTCTGGTTTGAGTTACCCTATTTAAACAAACTAGGGCTCGTTTAAAAGAGCTTTTCTTCCTTAATGATCTCCAGTATAAATTTTGTTTCCACAATTTTTTTTATGGTAGCTAGAGGGCGCTCTTTGACATCATAACAGATATTGCACTTTTGCGTAAAAAATTTAAATAGGAGGCTATATTTCTCTTTGTACAGTTAAATAGAGCACAACATTTCCAAAATATCAGCGCAAACATCGAAAGAATATTAAGACTTTAACACCCTGTAGCTACGAAACAAAGCAGAATCGGATCTATGTTGATATGAAAAATAAATCTTATTTTCACGTGAGGAATCTCGGTACATGTTTTTTGAGACACTCTGTATGTTTTATTATTTGAAGAAAAGGACTAAAGGAGTCAAATATTAGAGAACAACGGCACAGACTACAAACAGGTAAACGTTTACGTACGCATGCGCATTTCTTATATTTTACACGTTTATATTTTTTACGACTCTTTACGTTTACGTGATACCGGTGGTGATACGTAACCATAAACAAAGAAAGAAGATACGTAACCTAACGGTTCTATACGGGCCCGTAGTAAAGAGCAATATCACTTGATCTATTTATTTCTGGCCAATCATAGGACATGTTAAAATTATAGTGTTTATAGCTCGGCGTCGTGCAATAAAATTTCATTTCATGTCATCTTCTGTCTTCTGTGTTTCGTATAATATGTTCATGATATGCTGTGAATTTTATTCAACGAGTATTTGTTTAAATTATTGGTGTTTATCTCTGACTGTCGATTATTTATTGTGTTATTTGTTTCTGGTTGTGGATTATTATTTTTTCGATTATTTGTTAGTATACTCTAGTGAATAGCAGGTGAGTTTATCTCTGTGGTTTAACTGGTGTATCTGTATTAAAAATAAAACTTGTTTAACACTCTAGCAGAATGTGTGATTTTACATTTTTGATTGATTTTGTTTCGTTTAGTTGAGAGTTCGTTTCACTTTAGATGGCTCAAAAGTAAGAAATTTTCTATAAAATAAAGTACACATAGGCTTGTAAGATTTAAGCAGTTGGAAGACGGTTTTCCTTAAATAAAAAAAAATTTTCTAACCTCAAATGCAGTTTAAGCGTCTGTATACTTATTCGTTTTAATTTTTAACGAAAATGTAAATCTGAAGATATTGTAAGAGAATAGGAAAGGAAAAACCCAAAAACGTGATATCTGCACTATGCATTTGTGCATTTTAAATAAAATTAAAATAAAAAAAAAATCTAAAGTGAAACAGTATGGTAGTTGACCTATATCAGTACCCAGGTTTGTATTGTATAATAATACCTACCATTGTTTATAGGAAGTTTATGTAAATGGAGCTTTTAAAAAGAAAAAAACAAAATCCTTTTGATGATCCTATCAGATGGAATAATATTCAAGAAGCATTACATAATATATGTAATTTATTCATCTCAATAAGAACTATTAAGGATAGATTAACACTTCTCTTGAATACATGGTTTACGAGAAATAAAAAAAAATAAGAAAGTTAGTATATTTTGGCAAGTTTTAGTTATTTTTATATTTGTACCCCAGAAGCAAACTATGTTTAGTCACAAAACAGTTTCGAGAAAAAAAAAACGAATTTAAAGTTTTCTTTAGCTCCGGGCTTTTAATTTGATTTTAGAGTATTTTATTTATTCCTACAGATAGCGTAAAGGTGCCGTTACACGGCGCGTTGATCGCCGAGCCTGCAACAAAAAATTTCGCGCCGCACGCCGTGGGGGTCAGCGCGAGGATCGTCGGTCGGCGCGTCCTTCCCCTCGACTGGCGGTAAATTTCAAAGCAAACGCGCCGCGTGAGGTCTGCACCAGTAATTTGTTTAAATTTAATTGTTACATAATTTATTTAAATAACTTAATTTAATTCAAAAATACATAATTTGATATTAGCTTAAAAAAATATCTAAATATCATATTAATTAGGTATAAAAATTACTGATAAATAAGGGTATCCCAATATAATCTACAATGTTATTAAAACATCTCTATACCATGTTATTGTTTAAAGTTATTGTTTATTCTAAATTAAGTTTGATTTATATTTTTTTACACTTTCGTATTTTATTGATAATATTGTTGCGGACCCGTACCGTGTGAACTCGGCCTTAAGCTTGGCCACTCGGCTATGACTCATACGCCCACCGACGTTCGAAGAACGCCGCTAAGAATTTTCGAGATATGTCTGGACTGTCTGTTTCCCTCATATATAAGCCGATGCCCGAAACCTGAAGGAGATAGAGATAAATAACCGATCGACGCGTACAGTTACAATCGCCGCGCTAATTCAAAATAAATTTCTGTTAGATAAATAATTAGATAAATTGTAAATAAGTTATAAATAGTTCTTTAAGTCTTTTAATCGTTATTGTTTTTGTTAATTAGTGTTAAATAAATTGTGTTTAAATAAATTGTGACTTTCTATCCACACGGAACCGACGAAAAACGTAACAATTGGTGTCAAGTGTGGCGTGTGTGATAGACAAAAGAATAAAAAGACTGACCATGGCTCTAAAAAAATTGTTGAAAGACTTGAAAGTGTCTGAACTGAAATGCATATTGGAAGAGAGAGAGTGCGAGACAGATGGAAAAAAAAGCATTTTGCAAGCTAGACTGAGAGACGTTTTGGTGGAGGAAGGTGAGGATCCTGACACATTTTACTTCGAGCTGGAAGGTGACCTTGACTCGTCATTAAAAAATTTGCAAGACAACTTAAACGGCAATTTGAATAATTTAGAAGATAAAATGATGAAAAATTCCCAGGATTTAATTAATATTTTAGAAGATAAGATCGCAGAAAATTCTAAAGACATACAGGCTAGCTTTAATAATAAAATGCTTAATTTAGAAGAAAAGATAACAGAACATTCCAGGGAATTAGAAGAAAAGATTATAGAGAAATTCTACGGAGCTACAAGACAAAATAACACAAATTGAGGACGATGTAAACAGAAAGATAGAAATATTAAAAAAAAAATAGCGAAGGCGGCTTCACCAAATCGTCAAGAATCTTCGGAAGACCCAACACTCGTCGAAAATAAGTATATATCAAAGTCAGTAATTAAGCCTCCACAGTTTGACGGAAAAACCGCTTGGGCCAATTATTTTTGCCAGTTTGAGGCCGCTGCGAGAGCGAACGGATGGACAATCGTTGTAAAGGCTACCGCTTTGACTGTCGCACTGCGAGGAGAGATGCGACTCACATCCTGCAGACACTGTCACCATCGGAACAGGGAGATTATCAGCAATTGGTACGACATTTAGAAATGAGGTTATTCGAAGCGTGGAAGCCTCCAAAGTTTCGACTTCAAAAATTCCGGACAAAATGGTGAAGGAGTTAGTAAACGTTAAGGGATTATCTCCCGAAAATAGTAGAAAATTGAGAAACCTGATAATCAAGTATCAAGATGTGTTTGATAAAGGAGAAGCAGGACAGAGAGGTCGTACCAATTTAGTACAACATAAAATTGATACAGGAGATGCGCGACCAATCAAACAAAATCCGAGAAGACTTCCGCTCGCCAAACGTGAAGAAGCTGATAAAATCCTTCGAGAAATGAAAGAAGAAGATGTCATCGAACCATCTAACAGCCCGTGGACATCGCCGGTAGTACTAGTAAAGAAGAAAGACGGTACCACCA